ACCACCCATAGCCAGATCAGCGCTGCCGTTCGACGCTTTACCACGTCTGCTGCTCGCAACTCAGGCGTGAAGTACGACAAGGCCTCTTTCCCCAAGTCACGTATCGGAGGCATCGTTACCGCTCAGGCCGGCCGCGCACCCTTTGCGTCGACCCTTCGCCCCAACCTCACCGGAGGCACGCTTGGACGAACCGCAGGAGGCTACGGATGGGGCTCCGGGAGGGCCGGAGGCGCAAGGTACTTTTCGCATGGCCCTGCATCTCCAGCCCAGGTTATCAACAACGTGTCTCAGGCCGTCAGAGCGTTCCTCGTTGGTGGACAAAAGGCCCAATTCGATGGCGTCAACCCACACAGCGGCGAGAAGCGCTTCAAGACTGTATCGGCGCTGCAGGATCAGGTCAACCGCACGCTGAACAAGGTTCCTAAGGCCACACCTGGATCCTACATCAGCTTCAACGTTAACCCCACCGTCACCGCCCTTACTCCCCTGAAGGCTGTCAAGGGCTTCACCTCGTTCACACAAGAGAAGGAGACACTGAACAGCGAGGGCCTCCTCGATGTTCTATCCGTCGACTTCTCAAGGTCCGTCAAGGAGCTTGCAGCCGTTCTCAAAGATCTGCAACGATTAGCGGCATTAGGCGACCTTCCGATATCATACGAAAGCTCGGTGCTCAAAGTCCACTTCCCAGGCTGCGATGCGCAAACCGTCGAGACGATATGTAACGATTTTGAAGTCTCACGTGGCTCAGTATACCAAGACGAGGACTTTGACTCTTTCGTCGGAACCGATATCGCGCTTCTCTTCCCATTTGCACCCAGTCAGACACCGTCTGAATGTTCCTTCTATGAAAAACCCGTAGCTGAGCGCCAACATGTTCAGCCTAACATCGACTGGACACACATGCTCTCTGCATCACCCGCTGCTTCAGAAGGCTTCTCGACGCATTCCGAACAAAGTTATGAACAGATCGATGACTTTGCAACCGAGGAGCCTAATCCCTGGTTATCTGACTATGAAAGCTTGCACACCAGTGAGGCTGATGAAATGGACATGCATGCGCCGTTGGAATACCAAAGTTCTGATGGCATGTATAGATTCATGGCTCAGTGTGGAGCGTGATAGTGGATTGGGGAAGGCATTGATGATATGATGATACCTTTTGGTTTAGATTGTGGAATGGCATTTCCTCTCCTATGTATTAACGAATCAATAAATTAAATAACACTCGAGCCGAGAGTTCAAAGCTTTCATGAAGTGGTAAACACAGCTACAGTTCCTTTCCAAATTATCGGCACGGATCTTGAACACGATAGCCGATGCCGGCGACCGCATCACCTTCTCCAGACCTGCAAGCCTCAATGACCGCAACCAAGCCGCTCGCCTCTCTCGACCAGTCATCCGCGGCTACATTAGCCGAAAGAGGAAGTGGCGTCTAGAGCGTCACGTAAAAGCTCGCCTGTTATGGGTTTATTTCCGGACAAGGGCGTAGGATGTCAACCTCCACTTTTCTTTCCTCCTCTTGACCTCGGGAAGGCGACATGGTGACTCTTAGTTCCTCTCTACGCGTTCGTAAAATGGCCTTTGCACCTACATTGTTGTTTAAGATCTCCAGGTGACGTCGCATAGTGAAAGAGTGGCCGCTGCAGGATTGTTTGGCGTGTTATCTCCGGTACAGGAATTAAGACAAGAGCTCGGGATAGGAGCTCGGAATAGGAACTCGGGATCAAGAATTGTAACGTTTGAGGATAATGCTGGATACAGCGCAGCGTGGGAAAGAGGAGGAAATCAACCAAGATACAGAGAATGGCATTAGGACATCAGAAAAGAGCCAAAGCAACCAAAGCCCACAGCCCAGCATTCAACTTCACGCAACCAACCGAAACGAAGCCATGAAGAACAACGCCATCTCGAAACCCTGCTCACCTCAATCTCCAGCTGATGCCACCGCCCCTTCAGCAGGCCAACCTATCGTCGACGTACCCCCAAATGGTGGTTACGGCTGGGTATGCGTAGCAGCCGTCGCAACAATAAACGGCCATACCTGGGGCCTCAATTCCGCCTATGCCGTCTTCCTCGCCCACTACCTTTCCACCTCCGCCTTCCCTGGTGCCACACCTCTGCAATACGCCTTCATCGGTGGGCTCTCCATATCTCAAGCCCTTATCGTTTCCCCAGTAGCTACTTTAACGACGAGAAAATGGGGGACGCGCACCACACTGTTTATCGGCGTGGGGTTCGAGACGGTGAGCTTCATCGGAGCCAGTTTTGCGAGTGAGATCTGGCACTTGTTTTTGAGTCAGGGTGTGTGTTTTGGGTGGGGGATGGGGTTTCTGTTCGTAGGCAGTGTGGGCATTGCTGCGCAGTGGTTTACTACGCACAGATCGCTCGCTAATGGATGTTGTGCTGCTGGGAGTGGGCTTGGTGGGCTCATCTACAGTCTTGCTGCCCAGGCTATGATTCGTGATATTGGCCTACCGTGGGCGTTTCGCACACTGGCTGCCATTGCTTTCGTCGTCAATAGTGCATGCGCACTGCTCATCAAAGACCGAAATAAGCAGATTGGATCCAGCCAGCTCAGTTTCGACTACACACTGTTTGCGAAACCGCAGTTTGTGGGATTGTTGGCGTTCGGGTTCCTGAGTATGCTGGGTTACATTGTTTTACTCTTCAGTTTACCGAGTTATGCGCGGACAATTGGGTTAAGTGCGCAGCAGGGAAGTATTATTGGCGCAGTGTTCAATCTGGGGCAAGCATTGGGGAGACCACCGATTGGCTATTTTTCCGATTCCATTGGCAGATTGAACATGGCGGGGAGCATGACGTTCCTTGTTGGGGTGTTTTGTCTGCTGATATGGATCTTTGCAAAGAGCTTTGGAGTATTGATCTTTTTCAGTCTGGTGGGTGGTATGGTGGCAGGGACGTTTTGGGCGACGGCTGCGCCAGTTACGACAGAGGTTATGGGGCTGAGAGACTTGCCGAGTGCGTTGAGTATTACTTGGTTGGTACTTGTGTTGCCTACTACTTGTAAGTCTTGAGTGGTTGTGGGTTCAATTGCATGGAACAGCTTACTGACATGGATGCAGTCTCCGAGCCTATTGGTCTTGAAATCGTAGCGTTTAATGGAGGGAGCTATACTGGAGCTATTTTGTTTACGGGGTGGATGTACATTGGCGCCGCAGTCTGCTTGTGGATGGTGAGAACATGGAAGATTGGAGAAGACGAAGAGAATGCTGCGGCAGCTGCAAAGGGTGACGTCGAGCTAACTCCTGCTGAAGCCGAGAGCTTCCAAAGAAGTTCGTTTGTGAAGAGGATGTTCATGATTCAAAAAGTTTGAGACCATGTCACAAGAGTTGCAAAGTTCAAGCATAGGAGGAAGTGTGTTGATACGGCACTAACGACGTGCATTGTATTACTCCATCTGGCCTTATACGGGCGTTATATACAACACTCAGGTTTAGGTGATGATAATCATGACATGTACACAAGCTGCCAATCTATAGTGCGATCCCCCGAACTGATATATGTTGTCTATATCCCTCAAAACACCTTTTGTCTTTCTAAGACGTTAATCAAGGTACGCATACATGGCATCCTATTTTCTATATATATATAAAACGAGGTTGTTTAGTGTTTCTCTATAGCGTTCTCCATGATTTTGAGCTCTAGACTCTTGACAGAACACCCCACAGCCTGAAAGAGACGTGTGTTGTACTGACTCCACGACTAGCATGTGAATTGCCTCTCCTTGAGAATGAACATGTTGGCATCCTCCTATGGCTCCTGAATAATGGGTTAAGATGCAGAAATCTAGAGCTGCACGGATCGGATGAACGTAGGCTGGCCAAAGATCCAGCTCAAGTACGGTTCACAGCACACTCACGTGTTGCGTGTATATGCGTTACAAAATCCAACTTCATAGGTTTCTCGCCGTCCAGTACATCCACCTCCAGCTGCTACAGGTGAAACATCGAAGAACACGATGCTTTTTTTCTGTGGCTTGTCTGGCCACAAACTGGTGGTTGAAGGAGTTTCTAGAAGCATGCGAAATGGGGGCTTAAGCAGGCATCGCTATCCTTGCACCGCAGCATTAGCTCCCGTTGTCTAATCACTAGTCAGGTCCCCTTTCTCGGTGTCGCTGCATCATGCTGGTCGCGTCCAAGAAGATGTCGTGAGGACGTGCAACGCGTATGGATGACAGAATCTCTCCAGGGCTGCAATGTTGGAAGGTCGGGTAGGTCTGCAGTGGGGTAGCAAGATTTGTCGTCCAGTCGTTACCAGCTCCTACTGACGCATTCAAACATGACGTGCCGGTACGCGATTGGCTACGAGGGTCATTCCCGGCATTGAGGCACCCATGTCATGTCTAAATGTCGTGGTTAGTGTTAGCAGATGACTTTGGACGCGCCGACACGACCCTGAGGTGTAATGCGAGGGACAAAAGCAGATTTCTCACACGAAGACACGTGGAAAGCCTAGTGACGATAGCGAACGAACTTCTCCGAGCGTGTTGTTGGTGTTGGTGCATGCCGTCAGGGTGCAGAATTCGCGTGCTTTGTTCCCATGTGGCCTCGGCGTAAAGCCCCCTGACGCCAACTGGCAGCATCCCGCTAATATGGCTGACTTTAGCCTCGCCTGCTCTCCTGTCCGTGTCCACAATTTGTCGTCGACGACACTGGCACGCCTTTGACTGCCACTTCTTCATCCGTTGTTGCTGCTGCCTCGGGATGTTTGCTCGTCCTGTTGTCTCCAGAATCGTGCTATCCCACCTTATGTCGCTCTTTTAGCTACTTGCCAACAGCCTTTCCTTGTAATATCACCTTCTAATCGTACTGCGTCACCGAGCGGCCTTCGCGCGAGACTGTCCAAACACGCGTTCCTTTGCCCCGAGCACTGACTTCAACATCGTCGGAAGTTTTGTCGCATCACTGACGCGCGAAGCATCCGAGACGGAAAAAGAAGAGTTGCAGCCCATCGAGCTGTACAGCGTGGGAAACCCTTGAATGCAAGCTCGACGGTCCATCTCGTCCTCGCAGCATCCGCCCTCATCACCTCCTCCATTTGCTCCAGGGCACTTTGGTGAAGCGACCACTCCGCCTGAGGCGCGTGAAGCAGTCTCTCCCACTTGGACGGCCCCTTCGCCGGCTCGCACTCTTGGACATTCGAGTCCAGAGCTCCCTTCACTTCCGTCCTTCTCCGTACTTGGAAACCACCCGCGTACTCCCTCCAACGCTGCGAGGCACGACAGAACCGACACGTCCTACTATACCGCCAGTTGGGGCAGTCCGTACAGACACCCTCCTCCGGTATTCAATCCTTCGCGTCAAGTTTCGACAAACTTCGGCAGCGACGACTTTGAAGAAGAGGCTTCTGGGCTCCAGTTTGGCCTTGGGCATCTACTCCCATCTCGGCTAGATCTTCAGGAAGAGTCGCCGAATCAATTCAACCTCGAACATCTAATACCTCGTTTGGAACGGAACGCATCGCCAAACCGCTTCACGCTCGAACACTTAATCCGATCTCGATTGCCAAATCTGGTAACGCCCACCAAAGAAGCGCGAGCTTCCGGCACTACTCCCCGGGCCTCCGACACGAATCCTACTTCGCAGGAGTGGGTTGAACGATTCTTAGAAGAGCGTTGGAACCGCGAGACAAACGACTGGCGGGATAATAATAGCGATACAGAAGGATCAGGTGGAGAATCTGATTTGCCAATTGCTCCTCCGCCGAAAAGAGGACACAAGCAAAGGAACAACAACAAGACCCTGAACCAGCAGGACTTTTGGCGGCACTTTAGTAAGGAAGAAAAAGAAGCAGTCGGCAAGATGATGGCCTCCAAGTATGCGGATCCTGAGCCGTCTCCGGTCAGGCAAAACTCAGCATCAGGTCCTAGTACTGCACAGCAGATGAACGGGCACAGTGCACAGTCTGAGAAGACTCCAGTACCGACACCTACGAAAGCAACTAAGCCAGCAGATGAAACTCCCAGCAAGCTAGCGAGCAACGATGCATTCCAGGCAAGCCAGGATCTATCCAAGAACAAGCCACTACCTGACCCTCCGAGCAACTCATTTCTGGCTCCCCCAGGCGCAGCGCCTGCGCAGCCTCGGATGCGTAAGAAGGTCATTGTCAAAGGCAAAGGCTGTATCATCTCGATACCACGCGACATTCCGAGAGGCAATCCTGGGTTCCCTCCGAAGCCGATGAGTGCGGAGGCTGTGAATGCAAAGCTCCGACAGCTTGAGCAACAGGGTTACGACACTCGTGGCTTCAGTACCGGAGGTCTAGAAATGCACAATCGAGCCATCTGGCCGGCAGAGTCCGATGTTCAGGCAGAACGTAACAATGCAGGTTCACGATACACCGTCCGTGTATCGAAGGAATCTGAATGGAAAGACTACCAGAACTCTCTGCTCGAGGCTAAGTTGGCAGCACTCGGTGTCAGCACTGGTGGCGAGGAAGACGTTCCTCTTCCTTTGTCACGACAAGCGTCATCACAGCAGCACCCTGGACAGGTTTTCTCTCCACCGATACCTACATCCTCAGCTGGCAGTCTTCGTATGGCCAGGCACGGCAGCATTGCAGGTGGCGCCTTTCCATTCGGACCTTCACCTGGGCACATGTCCAGGCAATCGGTCGCATCTCCAGCATTTGGGCACATGTCCAGGCAATCGGTCGCGTCTCCAGCATTTGCAGGTCCACGTCCCGGTATGCACATGCATCGTCACTCAACTTTTGGATCACCTGCCAACTTTGTTCCATCGCATGGATACTCGCCCTCAGGCACATGGTCGCCTGCTGGATACTTCAACTCTCAAGACGGACGCAGTGGCTCCCCTGCTCTTGCATCCTTGAGCAGGCCTGATCTTTCCGCATTGATCTCGCCGCACTCTCCATTCGGCATGGCTCCCAACCAGCAGTTCCCTATTACGCCTACGCAGAGGGATGACTTCCAATTGCAGATGCAACTGCAGCAGCAGCAACTACAGAACCAGCTTCTACAGCAGCAACAGCAACAAGTTCTCGGACTGCGACCGAACTCTACACTGGCCGAAGTACCCGAAGATGAAGACGAGGAAGACGAGGTTCCGGCGATGAAGCATGCCACTAAATCTGCACCAGAGATTGCTGTACCGACTCCTCGCGGTCATCGTCATAATATTAGTGAGAACCTTGAACGCGAGGCAGCGAATGAAGAGTATCACTTGGAGGAAGCTATCGACAAGCAATTCGCTGAAGGAGGAGACTTCAGTACTGAGCCAGAGACCAACGTATCCTACAAGCCCTCCAATGCTGTGGCTAATCCTACGTGGGAGGACTCGCGAACGATCTTGCACCAACCTCAACCACACAGCAGAGCGCATTCACTCGCCAAGTCTCAGAAGCCTGTCGCCTTCTCGTTCCCCGCCCAACAGAACCCCCGCTCAGACAGCGACGGTGCACAAACGAACGTTTCGGAGAACACCAACCCCAGCCTGGAAGATGGAGAAGTCCGTAATCCGGTGAATGATTCCACGCAGCACTCCCAGGCCCCGTCCCAAGCCAACAACTCCTGGAAAGACAACAAGTTCGCCTTCAGCAAGCCTGCATCAGCAATTCACAGCAAACATGCGTCGCGCTCCTCTATCTCGAAGCTCAATGTTGAAGCCAAGGAGTTCAAATTCAATCCTGCAGCGTCTTTCAGCCCAGGTTCTTTCTCTTCAGGCTTCAGCTTCGCACCTGCTGTCAAGCCCCCTACTGTTGCCGCCCCTGCCGCCATTCCAGCCAACAACAAGCCTAGTATCGATGGACTGGCGAACTTCAACGTGTCAGCTCCTGCGTTCAAACCCGACGCACCTGTGTTCAAACCTGATGCACCGACATTCAAGCCCGTGGCTGAAGCTCCTGCGTTCAAGCCTGCTGCAGATAGCTCTCCATTCCCATCTGGTGGCTTCAACTTCTCAAGTCCACCCGCCTTCAAGCCAGATGCGCCTGCGTTCAACCCCGGTGTATCAGCTTTCAACCCCAACAAGCCGGATCCCGCCCCAACAAGCTTCTCATCAAAGATATTCGGAGATGTCAATCTATCCCAGAGCGACATCGTTAAGCCAGCTAAGCGTTCCAACGCAGTTCCGATTATCCGTCCCGACAACACACGCTCGCAGACCCCTGAGACGGAAGGCCGTGAGGGCCACGAGGACGAGTCTGGCCGACCTAAGCAAGCTGACGGTCGTGAAAAGAGAGTCCGACGTGATCGCCCTGATGCGGATGACGTGCCTAAGTTTGCACTTCAGCCTGTGCTTGCGTCTCAGCCTCTGGCCGAAATCAGGCAGCCCAATGCTGCTAAACAGGAACCTCAAGTTGAACGGGAGGAAGCTTTGGAGGACAAGGAGAACTTGTCGCCTGCACGTAATCAGACCAAATCTCAATCAAAGAGCCCAGAGCCTCTGTCACAGCCGAAGCGAGAGATCATCATGGCACCTATCTCACCGGCTCCACCGGCTCCAGAGAGCGATGAAGGTGCAGATGACGATACGCCTCATGCAAGCGACGTGCCGACACCTACCACCGAGGAACCTGAGCCATTGGGTAAGAAGCATACTCACAAGAGCACTCTATCGGCCAGCGCCAAACCGTTCGAGTTCAAACCTCAATTCAACAGTGCCGGCTACGACTTCGGCTTCCACGTTCAGAAGCCGTCTCAGGTCGAAGACCCAGAGAAGACTCAAGTATCTCCACCAAGATACGCCAGCAGAAGTCCAGCTACCACCTACAGACCTAGCGACGACGGCTCGTTCAAGACTGCCATGGAATCTGGTAGGCACAGGACTTACCCTGAGAGTGAAAGCGTTGATTTCGACAACCTTGGCGATGCTTCCTTCAACGACATTGATGCTGTTATGAAGCACATGGACGGCGAGGGATCCGACTTTGGCGTTGAGCGCGACGAGACTTCCTGGGATCAATCCTCGCCCCAGAGGACACCGAATGTGTTTGAGCGCAATGACCTGCAGCCCAGCTTCAAGATGCGCAGCGACGCGCCTAGCCCCAGCCCCCGCCGCGGTTTCTTCCCTGGACGGCCTATGCAGGGCTCTGCAACATCAGGGCAAGATCCATTCGATGATGAGCGAGCTGCGCTTCCATACGACTCGCCTGTGCGCCACCTGAACAACGCCGACGCCGGACCCATGAGCGACTGGGACGAAGGCCTCCTCACTGAGGACGAGTCCAAGGTTCAGACCCGCAGTGGCTTCTTCGACAAACATGTTGATGACCTCATGGGTCGTCTCCTGCAGGACCGCCTTGGCCCGCTAGAGCAAAACCTGCAAGGCATCCAAGAGGCGCTTGCAATGATGTCGCAACGTCCGGGACGCGGACGCCGTAGCATGTCTACTAGCGCACGTCTAGACAGCGATGCCGACGATGAAGATGACGATGCCGGCACCGACGTTGACTACCGTAACCGATCTCGAGGAAAAGACAGGAGGCTGGAGAAGATCCGATCCATCGTCAAGGACGCGCTTGAGATGCACCAATCACAGATCACGTCTATTCCGGTGCCCGTACCCGAACCGATGATCCCAGAGAAGATCCGGGAGATCGTCACCGACGCGCTTGCGCAACACCAGCCATCTGTGCAACCTGTTGAACCTGTTCCTGCTGATCAGATTCGCGCTATTGTTCAAGATGCGATTGCTTCCGCCAAGCCTGCGCAGGAACAGGTCGCTGAGCCTCTCAAGCCTGAAGACATCCGTTCTATCCTTTCTGACATGCTCGCAACTCATGTTCCTCAGCCAGTGGAGCCAGTCAAGACTGATGATATCCGATCCATTGTGTTGGAGGCGTTCGAGACGCATGCTCCTCAACCGATGCCACCTCCAGTACCTGAGCAAATCTGGCCTGACGACCTGAAGGCCATCGTTACCGAAGCTCTCGCATCACAACAGCCAGCCTTGGAACAGGTGCAAGCGGAGAACATTCGTTCCATCGTCGCCGAGGCGTTCGCATCTCACCAGCCTAAAGCGCCTGCCGCGCCAACTGCCGACAATGTACAGCCAGACATGATCCGATCTATCGTTGCTGAGGCTTTGGCGAACCAGAAGCCTGCTACTCTTGAGGCTCCTGTCGATATTCCACAGCCACAGCTTGATATGTCCGAGCTCTACCAAATCATCGGTAGTCTCAAGGCCTCAATCGCGCAGACTACCAGTCACCATCTCCAGGCTGAAGATATGCGTGAGCTTGTTGACGATGCCTTGAGCCGTCACGGTATGGAGGTCGCCCAACGTGAGGAATCCAAAGCTGTTCAGGAGAGGGATGCTCGTATCACAGACCTTGAGGAAATGCTCAAGGAAGCCACCCTCCGATTCAACGCTGAAGCTGAAGCCCGCCAAGCTATCGAGGCCCGAGAAGCAGACTCTGCACGTCTGCTCAAGGTTACAGAGGAAGAGCTTACACTTCTTCAACAGGCTGCCAAGGACGACGAGCATAAGATTGGTACTTTGACTGAGGAGCGAGACGTTCTTCGTCGCAGCCTCGAATCTTACCAGGCCGATGCAGCTGAAATGCGCGACAAGTTGTCTGCTTTCGACATCGAGAACGAGCAGCTCAAGCTTACAAACATTGCATTGGAGAGCTCGGAGGAGGACCTCAAGAAGAGACTCGATTCAGTCACGGCAGAGAATGAGGCGCTTACATTCACGCTTGAAGAACATCGTCTCTCTGCCAACAAGTGGCGAGGCGACCTCCAGGACGCTCATGAAGAAGGAGAAAAGCTACGCAAGGCTATTGGGGAGGCCCGCTTCCAGGCCGAGGAGGCTACTCGTGTACGAGAATCTATGCGTACCAAGCTTGAGAAGCTTCAACAAGACATGGTTGCCGCTTCGCAGCAGGTCGCGTCTGAGCGTGCTCAGTTCCAGAAGCATGAAGAGGCGTCTGCGACAAAGTACGAGGTTCTCAGCGCACGCATCGAAGCTGAGGGTCGCACACGGGAGCGTCTGGAGAGGGAGCTTGAGCGCTTGGAAACCCAGGAGCGTGAAGGTATGAGACTCAGGATCCATCTCGAGCAAACTCAGAAGCACAACGCCAAACTTGAGGAGACAGTCGAAGAGCTGAGGAAGGAGTCTATGGAGCACCAGAGGAACGCCCAACGCTACGAGCGTGACATGCGAGAGGCCAGGGATGCTGCGCACGTTGAGATCCGCCGCACCCGCGTGCTCATGGAGGCCGATGTTGATGCAGCTAACAACCAGGTCAACATTGTTCGCCACGAGCTTGAGAGCGAGATCGCCCGTGTCCGCGCCGAACTGGACCAGGTTCGCTTGGATGCTGATACTGCCAAGGAGAAGCACGAGCTGGATTTGGAGGCGGCTTCGGACCTCAAGAAGCAAGCTGTGCAAGAAGCAGTGGAGAACAACAGGCACAGTCTGCATGAGCAGCAGCGCACTTTTGAGCGTCAACTTGAGCACATCAAGCACGAGCATGCTCGCGCTCTCGAATTTGCTCGTGAAGACAAGGAGCGTGCCGAGGCTTTCCACAACGACAAGCTTGCATTGGCCGACTCCAAGCTCGACCACTTCAAGGACAAGATTGCGTTGCTGGAAGAGAAGCTCCAGGTCGCGAAGGAAGCCGCCAGTGCCGCTGCCGCAGCAGCAGCCAAGTCTCCTACGACTTCTTCGTTCGGTGGCGGCGCAGGAGCTCAGGCGTTGCGCGAGTCCATCGGTGTTCTTCAGGAGCAGCTACAAGAGCGGGAGGGACGTATCGAGTCTCTTGAGCGTCAGCTTGAAGAAGTTGACACTGAGGCTCCTGCTAAATTGAAGGAGCGCGACACCGAGATCAACTGGCTCCGTGAGCTACTTGGCGTACGCGTCGATGACCTAAATGACCTCATCAACTCTCTTGCTCAACCAACCTTCGACCGCGAGACCGTCCGCGACGCCGCAATCCGCATTCGCACAAACTTGCAGATGGAGCAATCCGAGAAGGAACGTCTCATCTCAGGCGGGCAACAATCTTTCCCAACCCTGAGCTCCCTCTCCAACTTTGCGTCACCTAAAGCAGTCCAGCTCGCTGCCGCTATCGGCAATTGGCGCAAGGGTCGCGGCGAAGCTACGTCTGCTCTCGCAGGCAACTCCTCCACCAAGCCTACCGCGCGTACCCAGACACCTTCGCGCGCGCAACCCCACTCCGCACAATCCTTCCTCTCGGGCCTTATGACTCCGCCAACCTCCAACGCGCGCCGTGGATCTGAGCTCTCAACTGCTTCTTCATCGCAGCAGCGTCCTGCAGTCATGCGCTCAAATTCCAATAGCTCCCGTGCGTCAACCGAAGTAGGGTTCCCAGCGCTCGGCAAGCAGCCGCGTACACCCCCTCTGATGAGGAAGCAGGCGTACGACCAAGATGCTGAAATGGAACCGTTCAGTGAAAGCGGTTTCTACGATGATGAGAGTACTGTTGATGGTGAATTGACGCCTCTGGCGTTGAACTTTGGGAGGGAATTGCAACGGTAGAATTCTCTGCCGTATCGAAACTGGAAACCTTTTCCTTTGTTAACCATTTCCTTTTTGTTTTATCTTAGCTCGTATGAGCATTCCTGTCTTTGACTACGTCCTGGTTCTTTCTCTTTTGGTTGGTGTCTTCACCTTGGTACCTAATGCTTGCTGCTTTGCTCGCGTTCTGTCTTTTGGATTGGAATATATACCCCCGCAAGACCGTATTTTCGCACTTTACACCAGATTGTATACAACATTTCTCCTTGGTTATATAGTTCCTTATGTATGTTTGGGATGATCTGGCAAGTTGGGATGGACAAGGAGGAAGGGGCCTAGAAACTAGCTTATTAAATTGTTAATCTACTACTTTCTTTGACATATGAGGTGTACTCTAGTATGTGCGTAAGGCGGCTCATGCTGGTCTTGATATCTGTTAACAGAGAACTCCACAAGCATATATCTTGAACGACTTGGGAGTGTGGAGTTGGCTAAACCTTCTTTTTGCTAGAAGGATGTAATTCGTAGAGTCTATAGGGTAAGTTGACTTCAATTAATTGCAATTGAATCATCACGAGATGAGTGCGAACGCAAAATAGAGCAAGTTTGGAGTACATAGGTAACAAGCGCATTGACCAACGCGGGGAAGACGCGATGACCTATTCGCGGGAACCCTTGCTTCCAAACAACGCGACGGTAACGACATTTGCTGCGCTTCAACCTACCAATCGACTTTGGGAACCCACGATACTCGAGCCACAGATTGTACACTGCAAACAAGTAGAGCAGTGCTGCGTAATTTCATCCTTTGCGTGCACGAACGAAAGCACATTCAACAAAGTCTCGAGGTTACCTCTCCCCGCCGCCGCTCTTTCATCGACTACAGACTACGCGATCCCCGATTCCCCACCTACAAGCGCATCAACAAAACAACTCCCGATTAAATCTGAAACAAGACACAAAGAGCGCAGGAGAACCATGGCTTCGGAAGCAGCAGCAGGAGAGCAGAACTTTGGAGCAAGCCAAATGTCGGATGGGGAGGAGACTCTCACGCCGCTCGAACAAGAAGTCTTGGATGAATATGCGCGGTTGTTGGGAAACTTGAATACTGTTCGTCTTTGCCTTTTCCACGGACTGAAGATGCTAAGCCGTGCCAGTCGTTTTCCTCTGATTCTCACTAACGCTCAGAATAGCTCTCCTCCCTCCTACTAGATCTATCGAACAACCCCAGTGCTGCTATACTGGACGGACTGCGCGGCCTGGAACGGAAAACTAGCTTGGTATTTACGCTGCTGAAAGCTAGTGTTTACAGTATTGTGTTGAACCAGCAGATTGACACCGAGGGGGGCAGTAACGGTGATGATGACAACACTGAATTAAGAGACTGAAAAAGGAAGAGAGAAGTGGCATGGACGATAAACGAATAGATGGATATGACATAATGTCGGAGTGAGCATGGTGCGTCCAAACAACTTTAGCATAAAAGAGTCTGAGACTATGATACCCCACTAGAGAGCAAGACAGTAAGAGAGAATAGAGAGCCTTCGCGCATCAAGCAGACATGGACACATGCAAGATGACATGATATGATACAAGATATCTACACAAGCTCTCTATGAGCCTTTCCACCCAACTTCATACCATGCATATGATACATCTCAGTCATACCCTGTCCATATCTAACAAAACAACCAGTCACAAAATCCAACTCTGCTGCATTGAATTCTAGTGAATAGATCCACCATAGTAGACCTTCCTAACATCTACCAACTTCTTACCTCTCGCCCTCGCAATCTCGTCTGGTAACTTCTGACTTGTAAGCGCCTCCCATGTCGCCTTGATAACGTTCATTTTGTTCCTCGAACGAGGGGTTTTTGCAGACAAGTCCTGGAGACCGGCCGCACGTGCGAGCTCGAAGATGAGATGTTGGACGCGGAGACCGAAACCTATGAGCATTCGAGTTAGCATTGCAACCGGAGAGTTTACTGGAGTGATGGGTAGTATGAGAAGGTTTTATCTTACCTGGCGGTCTGGAAAAGAGCTGGACGCGAGTAGCGCCCACCTTGGTCTCCAAGTCTCCAAATGTCGTCCTGTTCTCGTAGCGTGGAACTGGACGCATGTTTCGTATCGCGCTCATGACACTCTGCTTGCGTCCCTCTTCCGGTTCTACGGATTTACCCTCGCCGACACCTAATAGACCATCTTGGTTTCCCGCTATGGTAAGGTAGTACAGACTTCTTATCTTGCCCATACGTGTCTGGTTCGTGACGCCGTGGACAACCAAAGTCTTGACACGGATCTGGCGCAATTTTTGCTTGTCCCAGCCTAGGTATTGCAGGAGGCGTTTTTGCCGGGGGTCCTCTTCCTCTTCGGTCTTGAGGCGGCGTGTTTGGCGGGCCATGCGGCTTTCGACACGGGGGAGGTCGGGTGCGATGACGGAGTGGCGCTCGTCTCCCAAGGCTTGCAAAGCGGCGGGGTTCTTCGATGTGTAGGTTGCACGTGGGTCCAGCGTGGCTTGCGTGACGGCTGCATCCATAGCGCTTTGCAAAGCCTCGTCGGTTTCGCCTTCTGGTATGCCGTTGGGATACATTTTGGCGAGGTTTTCCGTTGCTAACCGGGTTATGTTTTGGTCGCGCTCGACTTCGTTGGCGATGCGGAAGGTTTTGGAGCCTTCAATGTCGTCGCCGGTCAGACGCTCAGGTCGGTCTGTTACTGGGTCTACCTGTGCGAGGTCGTCTTCGTAGTTGAGACGCCATGGGTCTGTTCTTCGCTGGCCCTGTGTGAGGACATCTCGTGCGTCGATTGTAGACTCTGCGGCTTTGATGGCGGCGATTTGCGAGGGGGTGTATTTTTTCTCAAGGAGCGTCGTCTCTGCGGTATCGTACTTTGGGTATTCTGCTTCCGCCGCTTGGTTGAGGAGCTTGAGGTCGTCGGCTTTTATTGACGGGTAATGTGGTCTCTTCTTGCGGGCTTGTCTGGGTGCGGAAGCATGGAAAGTGCGTTGCGGAGGTGGTTTAGGAAGAGTCGTCGATGCTGCTTTGGTGAAGAGACATCTTGCGGGGCGGCAGACGCTCATTTTTGCCCTTCAACCTCCGACTGAGGGCCAATTGAGCGTGGGGCGGCGGTAATAGCGGGTGGCCTGCGCGGCGGCGTGATGGTCAAAGTGAAGTTCGGAAAGTTCAAAGGTGACTAAGCGGGATGGCAGTAATCGCTCCAGCCAATCGCCGCCTTCCCATCCCCGTGACTAACTCAACTTTCTCTTTTCTCCATTCCACGTACGCTGCATGTACTCTCGGATCTTTACTCGACCGCTTCGGACACTGCTGGCCAGTAGCCGCTATTCTCAAACTGCTAGGTACAATATGGCTTCGTCCGCCGACAATGTTGCGCCTATTGAAAGCAACGGCGCAAAAAGATATGCAGAGACACCTTTACGGAGCGAGGAAGGACCACGAGGCAATTACAGGTTCAAGAACAAGCGCATGAAGAACGGTCATGCTGAGCAGAGTAAAATCTTGAAAACGAACGGCACCAATGAGGAAGTTTTATTGCAGGATGTTACTGCGCTCATCAAAAATCTTACTTTTCAAAGAGAAGGAATGGAAGGCTCGACAGTACTGCCAGAGAAGTTCAAAGAGATCACAGTTGAGATCAAGGAGATATCTTCTACTGGTGATGGCCTAGGTTTCCAGCAAAACTCGGACTCGGACCAGGTCTATGTCGTGCCTTTTAGCGCACCTGGAGACATTGTGACAGCACGGCCGCACAAACACTTTGAGAAAGAAAAGTACTCCATGGCCGACTTCGTCAATGTCATCACGCCTTCAAATCACCGCAATGACTCTCTTGTAAAATGTCCCTACTTCGCCAGTTGCTCAGGCTGTCAGTTCCAAATGCTACCCTACGACTTCCAACTTCAACACAAAAAGACCATTGTCGAAAAGGCATACAAGAACTTCTCCAACCTCCCACCCGAGCTCATTCCTACCATCGGCGACACAATTGGTTCACCACTGCAGTACGGCTACCGCACAAAACTAACCCCTCATTTCGACGGCCCTCCAGACGCCCGTCGAAGTGACGGTCGAAATGGCATCAAGCGAACATTTAAAGAAATACCCCCCATTGGCTTCATGAAAAAAGGAACACGTACAACAATTGACATAGAAGACTGTCCCATTGGCACAGACGCCGTCCGCGCAGGCAACAAGCGAGAGCGAAAACGCGTCGCAGACACCATATCCACCTACCACAAAGGCGCTACGCTTCTGCTGCGCGAAGACACAAAGCGTATTCCTAAAAATGAATATGATGTCACGAAAGAAACAGACTCAGATGCTGTAATCGAAGACAGAGGCGAGCACATCCACCGCAAAACATGTATAACAGATCCCAACGCCAAATCTACAGAGTACATCTCCGACTTCCAGTTTGTCAACCCAGCTGGTTCTTTTTTCCAGAACAACAACTCCATCCTCCCTGTCTTCACACAATACATACGCGAGAATATCCTACCCTCCTCTACATCAGCGCCCAATCATAAAATCACCCACCTGATCGACGCATACTCCGGTTCCGGCCTCTTCACCATCACCCTCTCTTCCCTCTTCAAGTCCTCCCTCGGCATCGACATATCTCCCGCTAGCATAACCTCCGCATCTACAAACGCGCGCTTGAACAACCTTCCAGAATCTTCCACACGCTTCATCGCCGCTGACGCCGCCCGTCTCTTCGCTTCCATCGAGTCTCCCGCCGACGAAACGGTTGTCATGCTAGATCCACCCAGGAAAGGCTGCGATGAATCCTTCTTGCGGCAGCTGGTGCAGTATGGACCCGCAAGAGTGGTGTATGTGAGTTGTAATGTGCATACTCAGGCGAGGGATGTGGGTGTGCTGGTAGGCGGGATGACGGGTGTTGATGGCGGGTTTGGGAAAGGCGAGGGGTGTTATGAGATTGAGAGTTTGAGAGGATTTGACTTTTTCCCGCAGACGGGGCATGTGGAGGGTGTGGCTGTGTTGAGGAGGAAGGAGAATGCTGCGCAGAGTGGAGATGCGTGAGAATGATGACGGAGATTCCTCATTGTATGGTTAGTGAATGGTGGTGAGCACATTGATTCCACAAGTTTGTTGAGAGTATTTTCATTGTCAAAGATTTTTGCTGTACATCTCATGCTCGCTCAAAGCCATACCAACATTTGCGCACGTTTCTTACGATACTTATCTCGCCGTCTACGTGCTTCCAGGCCCACCCAGCAGCGCGAACCTTCGGACAATGCTGGGACCAATCTCATCGTACTCGGCCTTGGTGTGGCAGTAACTCTTGAACTCGGGTGTCTGACCGAGCAAGCTACCTCCGAACCACGGGCCGTGTCTTTGTCTCTTATGCGTAATGACTTGTACGTCCAGACCACCACTCTTTGCACCTCCGCTTCGTGCCTCTGATGCCTTGATCCTCGCGTCAACCATGTGCCTGATGTCACGCTGCAGGCGTCGACCAAAGTCCTTGTATAGTGTTGAACCACCTGATAGCACAATGTTCTTGTAGAGCCCTCTGCGTACATCGATGGGAGAGGATTGGATGACGGTGTCGACAATGGTGGGGAGCGGGGTGAGGAAATCGGAGGAATAGATTTCGGGGTTGAAGAAGATCTCTGGCGCAAGGAAACGTTCGTAGCCGACGTCGACGGTTGTGGTCTTGCCGTTGGGGTAGTTGACGGTGTGCTTCTTGAATCGGTCGTCTGATTCGCGGTCGAAGCGTGCGAACTCCTTGACGATATCGGGACACACGTAGCAGTACTCTTCCTTGATGCGCTCGGCAGTCTGAAGGGAGGAGTCGGGCTCGCCGCGTTCTCGGAGCAGCGATTGTACGAAGTTGGTAATGTCGCGACCAGCGATGGGGACACTCTTGATGGAGGAGCCAATGACGTAACCTTCGGCGACGGGAATAACGTGAGTGACACCAGCACCTGAGTCGATGACAGTACCGGTGAGGGATCGGTCCTGTACCTTGGAGCTGGTCCATGACGCGGCCAAAGCGAGCACAGCTTGTACGGCGATGTAGAGACCAGCAACGTTGAAGGACTCGAACATGATTTCGGCAGTAGCCTCGCGGTTCTCTGGGGGGTTCAGTGGCTATGGGCTGTCAGTGTCGTCTTTCTAATCGTGGTAGAAGCACAGCGTACGGGCTCGGTGAGGAGGAAGTGGTGGTCCTCGGGCTCCACTCTCAGGTACTTGAATATCGAGTTGGACCAGAAGCGTTCCATAAGGTCCTGCATGCCATCAGTATACCCTCGTGTCCATCTACAGGCTTCTCCATACCCAGTTGTCTATCTGACCATGCCTGATCGGGTAGTTGATGCCATAGCCAGCGCCTCCAGCTGCGGCCAGAGCTTCGTCGCCGATGAAGAAGTCGAGGTCCTCGGTGCCGCGCTTTCCAGACAGATGACCACCAGGCCCAGCTCCACCAGTCAGGTATGAGGGCTTGTTCGCAACGGCTGGACGTCCAGAGCCTGATCCGCCGCTACCGCCTGTTGGACCTTTGGTAGCTATCGCAGTGGGAAAGACGAAGGAGGGGGAGTCGTTGCCGGCGAAACCTGGTGCGTTGTTATTAAGAGCTAATGCATCGAATTGAGTCGTTGAGCGTACCGAGCTTCGAGTATCCCGTACCGCTGCAGCCAGTGTCAGTACTCAATCGCAACGTGGGTGCCCATCGGCAGCTGTTAGCTTACTTGTCCATGACAACGGCGGGGGTTTGGGACGCCATGGTTGCTGCTTCTTGGCGTAAAAATCAATATACAAGGCAGCTCAGGTGATCCCTGATATGAGAGCGAAGGCGCGTGGGTTGGGTGTCGAGGTGGCTTCGTCAGAGCGGTGATGGCGGAGGTCGGTGCATGTAGTCGAATCAGGCACCGCCCCGCTCCGCCCTTGGCGCAGGACACATGGCGGGGGAAGACTGCAGTCCTCTTCAACACGTAAACACAGTCGCTCCTGCTTCCTCAATCTAGTGTGCCTGCTGCACCAACAAATTTTGAATCGTAAGCCTAACATTGCAATCGCATGCCTTGGGCAGGTACAAACGAGAGAGCCATCGCCATCGCCATCGCACCTCTGACATCGCTGCTAACCTTTCCTCCACTGACTGTGATCCTACAGCGCTCATCGAGCTTCTCTCCCACTCTCATTGTTCACACCGCCGCCAGAGGACATCTTCGCCTTTACATCGGCTCAACCTCTTCATTAATTCCGCATTCTTCTTTTCTTCCTCAGTCATTCTCGCCTCTCCTGCAATTACCTGTTTTCACTGTCGACCCTACATCTCCCTACGTTTCGAGTGTCCGCTTAACGACCGTCTTTACAGTCAGATCCACAACATCCTACCACTACCGCCCACTTCGGAGCGACACCGGACCATTTCACTAATCGCCAAAAGTTCTCTGTGCCAACAACAGACCCTCATTGTGTGCTGAGTCAAGCCCCGAACTACAACCAAGACTCATCCGAGCGGCATCATCTCTCACCGTGTTGCACTGGATACGTTCAGTCTGCACTTCCGTGACTTTCGCCGACACTTCACCACACACAAAGGCATGTCGATTCCAGGTCGGCACTATGCACCCATAGACGGAGCCTGTCATGTTGATACACACACACGCAAAGCCTCGCGTAGTCCGCCGAATGATGATGTGTGCTGCATATATGTTCATGCTGGCGCAGGCTACCATAGCCACCAGAATGAGAGGATTCATCTCGAAGCATGCAATGAGTGAGTGTTCCGATGCGTCTCAAACGATGTCGCAAAGTTAGCTCGTGCTGATATGCGTAGTGCTGCACAGTTAGCCATGTTAATTCTGAAGAACGGCGGCTCAGCCCTCGATGCTGTCGAGGCCGCCGTTAAGACTTTAGAAGACCGAGAAATCACCAATGCAGGATACGGCAGCAACTTAGCCATGGATGGTGTCGTCGAGTGCGATGCTTCCGTGGTCGACCACTTTGGGCGTAGTGGAGCTGTTGGGGCTGTAGCTCGTAAGCGTTCGACGACCAAAGCTGTGGCTTAGTACTGATGATGATCGCCAGAGATCAAGAATCCTATATCCCTAGCACGAATGGTCCACGACCATACCATGAGTCCGCTAACGCTGCGTCGAGTGCCTCCAAACCTTTTGGTATCTCAGGGCGCCACTGACTTCGCTGTCGAGATGGGTATGCCAATCCTGCCCCATGATGCACTCATCTCCCCTGCGGCGAAAGAGCGTTGGATGCGATGGCGCTCCGACTTGAGAGCAGCCGAGCGCAAGTCCAAGAAGAGTGGTGCACATCCATCATGCTGGAAGATCAGGGATACTACGGCACCAGTCGATGAGCGGGCACAGGAACGCATGCGCGAACAGCACACTCAGAACCTGCTACGGGCATATCCGTCTCTGCTGCAATCACATTCGCCTCCGCTATCGGATGGTTCAATGTACGGTCAAGGTGAGAACGCGTCTTCTGATCCTTCGGTTCCTCCTTCAGAGCAGTCTTCGAGCTCTTGGGTCAGCAATGAGCCGACCAGCGCACCCGACCTGACCGATACGGCACCATTGGTTGCAGAGGCTCGTCCGATCACTGTTTCTGATGCTTCTCGCAGTGCTTTCGTCAACAGCACGCAACAGATACCTACTCTGAAAGAGTATCGTCGCGACGCAGGTTATGAAAGCATCATGGAAGACGCGCAGATGGAGGGCGACGACACAACATACGTACCGAAACCGCGTGGAGCGTGGGCTGATGGATCTGGAGAGGATTTTGACTCTGAATCCAGCGTGCAGACAGCAAAGGGCGGTCCCAAGGAGAAGGCTCAACGTGACGCGATCGATACCCGCCTACCGGAAACCCCAGACGAAAGTGTAGTCCAGTCGCGGCTCGCTGCTACATCGACCCCACTAAATCACGTCAAAGAGACAGCGCCACTGCCGCCCATGCCATCTAGTCACACGGCGCATGAGGTCGAAGAAGACCATATTACCGATACTGTTGGCGCTATCGCAATCGACAGCTGGGGTAACATTGCTTGTGGTGCATCTTCCGGTGGCATTGGCATGAAGTACCGGGGCCGGGTAGGCCCGGCAGCTCTTGTCGGCGTAGGAGCCGCGGTCATCCCCATTGACCCTGACGATTCCGAACAAACATCCGTCGCGACAGTTACAAGCGGAACCGGGGAGCACATGGCAACCACCATGGCTGCCACAGTATGTGCCGAGCGTCTATACCAGAGCGTGAAGAAAGGCCGTGGCGGCGACTACGTTGAAGTGACCGAAGACGAGGCTCTCCGAGCAATGATCGAGAACGAATTCATGGGTACGTCAATCGCTTTGATATTGTCTACTCAACTCCATACTAATACTACGCCAGGGCATCCAAGTGTCAAGCACAGCAACTCGGCCGGTGCCATCGGCATCCTTGGTGTGAAGAAGATGCGCTCTGGCATATTGCTCTACTACGGACACAACACTGACTCGTTCGCTATGGCATCCATGTCTTCGGATGATGATCGTCCTGCCTGCTCCATGTCTCGCAGTAATGGTAGTGGCCAGATTGCGCAGGGTGGAAGGATGGTGCCTGTGAGGCGCAACAAGAGGACCAAGTCAACTCCAAGGAGGTGACTGTGGTAGGCGTATGCGGTGCTTACAGTGTCATTTTACGAGTTCATACCTCCTATCACCTGGGATGCGAGTCTAGATACGAGTCAAGAAACCGACGGTGCGGCGGGCGTTCCTGTTTCCTACTCGTCATCGTGAAAAGGCTTTTGCGAGCTCGAATGTGTATATCATTAGTGGAAAAAGTTAGCTAATGGTCGTGATCGTATGGTAAGGGGATATGTGATACGACCAAGACACGAAAGAAAGCAATCTGGTGTCTACTGGATCAGTGGAAGAAGAAATGGGTGTCGCTGTAGAGTACTCATTAGATTTTGGCTGTGAAATGATACCTAGCTTCCTGTCTTACAAACTCTTACACTATGACCAGTGCCAAGGACCGGACATAGCACATTCGATTCGTCTTGCTTGTCAGGAAATTTTCTTAGTGTGCCTTGGTGCGTGCAAGAAACTGGAATGGTCCAGCATTTACCAAATTAACTGGTGAGACATGCGGCTCAACAGTGTGTCCTATCGACGAGTTTCCAGGTCATCCGCGGATGAATATGTTCGCCGAAGGTGCATTAAGCAATGCGTATGGATGGCAACCTGAAATATGGAATACTCCAGACGATGATGAGTTAGCAAATCTGGAAGCCTCTCTTTGCCTTCCCGGTCTTTGCTTTGGCGGTTTTTTCCTCAAGGTGCTCTCAGCACGTAGCAGATCGATGCCGTGCTAGATACATACCAATTATAGCAATTCGATGACTCGTCAGACATGGAGAGGGGAGCTCAAATAGCACAGAATTGGGTGTATGAGCGATGTGTCGGCTCCATGGCAACCTCGGTTCAACGACCGCGACGTCACTCTTCCACAGTCCCCAAAACATCTCTGTAGACCCCATACACTCGTCTCACGCAAACCCCTTATCGCACCTGCATATGGAACCATATCACATTGAAAATTCGTACCTGAGCCTATGATTTAACATCTCACTAACTCTATTTTCCATCGTACCCCTTGACTCCCTTCTCCCCACTCCCCTCGACCTTCCCACTGGCCACCCCCAGACTCCTTTCAAACGCCCCCGTAATCCCCATCTGGTCTGTTAGTATACTGACCATATCAAATCCCCTCTCTGCATACCCCCTCGCGTCCTCCCCCGAGTTACAATACATAGCCACTTTCTTTCCCTCCGCATGCGCCGCTTCTTTGATGCTCTCAATCGCCTCCTGCAACTCCTTGTCCATTGTCGAAGTCAAAATAGGATGCCCAATGTTGTTACCGAGATCAAACGGCCCGATTAACAAACAATCTACGCCGGGTAAAGCGGCAATCTCCCGGCAGGAAGCCAGTGCAGACGCAGTTTCTATCTGTACGATTGTGAGAAGCGTACTGTTCGCGTGGCGAAGGTAGTAAGTTAGTGGTTCATTCGAGAAACATTGCGTGGGGAGGGGGGAGCCGAAACCCCGGGTTCCTTCTGGGGGGAATTTGGCGGAGGATACGAGCTTTTTGGCGTCTTCGACTGTATAAATTAGAGGGACTATGACACCATGGGCACCGCTGTCGAGAGCGCCTGTGCGAAGTGTCAGTTTGTGACGTGGGGATGCTGAGGGTGATTGACGTGTAGACAAGGAATTACTTACGCTTTACCATCCACGGTTCGTTTGCTGCGATACGGACAAGAGGGCTCACGCCTGCGTGTGCTATGGCGGTGACTGCTTCGTGCATTTGGCTGTCGTTGATGTTGCCGTGCTCCGTGTCGACACATATCCAGTCAACGCCTGAACGGGCGATTGCCCGAGCATGATTTGTCCCTGGTAGCATCTAGAGCGCCGTCAATCTCTCTACATCAAGTTTTGCTTCATCTTCGGGATGACTTACCTGCCATCCTCCGAATGTCGGCCCGCCTTTCTGGAAGGCCTTGTATATCCGGCTTGCTTCTTGGAGGGTGTTCATGTTTCGCGAACGGAAAGATGATTGGCTATTTTGGGATAGAATGATCTGAGGACGTTTGAGGAGTGATTGAGAATTCGGTTTGAGTGGCTTCGACAGAGTGGCTCTTTGTAGGGCGTGCGATATCGTCATGGCTCTTGCAGGGACGAGAGGGGTATATTGCCGTGTTGGAGATGGTTACCCCACACTGGAACGCGCTAGGCTATGCGGGTTTATGGGGAATGGCAATAGACTCTCTCTGTTGACACGTCGGGATCTCGAGGGGATTTCTTGCCTGAGGGACCTATTCGATGAGCGTCTATTCTTATATCCATTGTGACGCATGCTGTTACGGGTCCTCTTCTGGACGAGGTGAGTCAAGGGCGCCTGGAGTCTTTACGGCGGATACGACGCCCTACTGGATTTGTGGAGCCTTTTATCTCCGTGCTATCAACATCAACGCGCTGTGACCATGTCAAAGCTCACTTCCATCATATTTGGATATTCGACTGCCGCCAGATGACAGTGATCGTCTATCATATCGTATGCAGCCATCATGTTATTGAATACTGCCGCCGGCGCGAGCCAACATTCTCGGAGATACAACCCCAAAGTAAAAACCGGATGCAAAACGTGCAAGTAAGATGATGGATTCGCAGTTACCCGCCAATGACTTTACCAACCGACGATAGAAAACGCCGCGTGAAATGTGACGAAGACCGGCCTTATTGCCTAAAGTAAGCAGGCAAGCTCCCTCACACGCAGGCTTGAAAACTGCCATGTTTACCTGAGTAGATGCACTAGTACTGGTCGCAAGTGCGATGGGTACAGCCGAATGAAGCATGCATACCAGACTCAAGTCATCAGCTTCGCGTTCGATCCATCGAGGATGCCTCAGCACCCGATTTCGTCGTTTTCCGGATCTGGAAATGCACAGTATCTGGAGTTCTACTACTACCACATCGGACCAATGTTATCCCGCAGATTCGACAGGGACTTCTGGTGTGGCATAGTCCTCCAAATGGCACAAGCCGAATCCTCTGTGCGTAACGCGATGATAGCCCTCGCTTATCTAAACCAAACACAACGCGGCAGCTTAGCAGATACGCGTCGTGATACATCAAAGAAAGATGGAGAGACCAGCGGCCAATTTGGGCTATACTACAACAAAGCCATCAGATGTCTCGTAGCCCGCATGAATGAAGCATCATACGCGCCAGAAACGGGGCTGGTGACCTGCGTACTTTTCGCCTGCATAGAGTTTCTGCGAGCTGATAAGCAAAACGCCCTGCTCCATATGCGAAACGGACTTTACATTGTCTCTGAGCTGCGGAGAAGACATGGTGTTGACACGCTTTCTCGCGAGTCCCGTACCAGCATTATACGAAACGGCATCAGCGGACCACTAGAGATGATCGAGAAGACTCTTGTCCCAATCTTCACACAGGGTCTAATATCCGCACTACTACATGGTGTAGATGTGGATATGGAATTTGCTTTCCTCGAGTCTACGCTGCTGAATCACCTGCACCTGCAAACCTTCAACAACCTACGCGAGGCGCGCTTCTCATATTGCGAGATGAGAGACGCTTCAATTATTCTTGCGCGCGATTTCGCTATCAAGCTGTTCCAAGGCCTTGAACCATCGCCATCCGATGTTGAGCGGCAAACCCATGTTCTAGCTTGTCACCAGACTTGGTTCAGAGCTTTACTCGCCTACGAAGAAAGCTCTGCGCTCATCTCTGAAGAAGACAGGCTTGCGATTGTTGCGTTGAAAATTGGTTATTACACCACTTACACTGCTTCGGCATGTGTACACGATGCCAGTCAGATGTCATTCGATGCGTATCTCGATAGTTTCAAGACCATCATATACCACGCGAAATTCCTCGCAAAGAAGATTGTAAACACTGCCAGTCCAGCTCAAGAGCAAAGGATGCATTCTGGCGCTTCCGCCAACTTTACATTCGATACTTGTCTAGTCCCCGCCTTGTACTATGTCGCCCTTCGCTGCCGCCACCCATCTACCCGTCGCGCTGCTATCGCGCTCCTATCTCGGGATCTTCCCCGTGAAGGCCTCTGGGACCCCGATTTCTATCGCATAGTAGCCGAGCGTATCGTGGAGATTGAAGAGAAAGAAGTTGATGGGAGAGGCTGGCCGGTAAAGCGAACGAGATTGTGGAGCGCAAGTGTAACGGCGGACGTCGGTGAGGAGAGTGGACTTCGATCAGATTTCTTGTTTGCAAGGGATGTTGGGAGGGGGATGGGGAACACGTGGAGCGAAAAGAAGGTGCCTTCTGTAGCTGAGCTATATGTTGAGGTGTGCAATGCAACTTAGACGCTTAGTAACAACGTCAAATATCTGTGCATAGCGCATACAGAGCATCGACAGACCCGGTATACTAGGAGTAACAATCTCAACTTCAATCGCCCCACAGACAAAATTATCCTCTCCGTGCCAGAAATGTCTACAATTATATGGATATCCGCTGCCTCCCATAACCTTACACACTCGTCTTCCTAGAGAACGCCAAGTGACTCCAGACACTGCCAAACCCCACCGTCTGGCCTTTATACCAGCCGTGGTGATGCTTTTAGTACAATCAAGAAGAAGAGGAACAACAAGCAGAAGAGTGATGTTACATATCCGTAATCATAGCCTGATCGTCGCCACGCTGACCCTCGGTCACGATACCAAGAAGACGCGCATACGGCACCGTAATACGCTGGAGGTCGCGATGTTTACCTGCATGCCATGTTAGCAACCTGGAATCTGAAAACATCGAAAAAGATAAGCATGGGAGAGAAAGAGAAAAACTTACCAAGAATCAACACCGCCTCCTTGAGCAACTCCTCCCTCTTCCACCCGCAGATTTCTTCCGGCTCCTTCATTGCGCCTTCATCCTCTTCCTCATCGTTGTTACCCTCCTCATCCTCAGAAACAAGACTGCCCATGAGGCTGCGCAACAACTCTTCAATCTTCCCTTTGAGGCCCTCAGCACCGAGACGCTTAACGTACATGGTAAGATAGATCTTAAACTCCTCCCTCGCACCCAGGGTGCGTGCGGCTGCAACGCGGTTCTCGAGATGCGCCACAGACGCCGAACTCTCAAACGTTTCGTAGCCCTCTGCAGAAACCAGGATCTTAATGAGGCGCTGGAGGTGGAAGGCGCGGCCTTGGAGTAGGGATTGGTTCGTCGTGTTGCGTTCGAGTGCAGGTATGATTCCCGCTGAGATGTTCTCGATAGAGACCTGATCGTCCTTTTCTTTCTGTGCTGCGTTTTTGTCTTTGGAAGATCGGATGTTGCCGACGGAGGAATCAGTAGAGTTCCAGTATTGACTTGTAACACCCCACCAGGGTTCTGAGAGACGCTGCCAGATGTACATGTCGGGGTTGTATGCGTAGCCCTCGCCGTTTGACATGGCTACTGTTATGCGGCCTGCAGAGTTTAGGCGCGCGAAGACGATGCCAGGAGAGCGCGTGAGGTGGGGGCCCTGGGCATAGGCTGCAACGTCGAGGATGGGAGCTAGGGAGATGGGTGGATGCGGTGCGGACATTGTTTTTAGGTTCCAGATGTAGACCATGCCGACTGCTGTTATGCACATTAACCACCAGCCACGGCAGTCCATGATTACGGGTTGTGCTTCTAGGACCATGGCGTTGAGGGTTCGGCGACCGGCGGGAGTCCACGCGTATACTGAGCCGTCCTCGCATGCCGCTGCAAAGAGATTCGTGTTGCCTGTGACTAGGAGTACGGCCTTTGGCAGGAAATCTTGCCAGAGTGACTGCCCCTTGCTGGTACAGGTTAGTCTTGTTGGATCGTGGTCTTGTGGACGGCCTGTCCGTGATGGCCCGCTGGCGTTGCGAGCTTCTAGGATGACAGTGTCTGGTATTTCTGCCTTTCCTGTGTTGGCATCAACACCACTCTGCGGTGGCTCACTGCCGTCCATGGTTCGCACGATAACACTTCTGACTTTTGGCACAGCCAATCGCACCTGGGCGAGGGCCATGTGAGGATTCACGATGGCGGGCCTTAGAACCGATGGAGGCTCTGTCAGGTCGTTTGTCTTCGATGGTGCAGCAGCCGGGGGAACCAGACCCTTCTCACTGTTAAGTACAATTGCTGCCCCTCCAGGTTTGACTGAACCAGCCAATCTCCGCTCCACTTGTCTGTCTTCATCGCCTTCGATTTCAGCGAATTTCCTCTTATTTCCTATCAACATGGTTGCGAGTCCACCTTTTGGAAACCCATCGTATGGCTTTGACAGATCTAAGATATTGTGGGGATTATCATTCCTACCACCTGACGTGGCTGTTGCAGAGAGGAGTTGCGTTTGAGGTAAGGATGATTCGCCGACACCAGAGGAAGACGACATGAGCATAGGTGCTATCCGCTTCTTGCCATCCTTATTGATGGTCACCCTTTGCTTGAGCTTCTCGACTCTAGCATCTGGAGCTGGCTCAGTAGGGGCCGCTGGTGGTGCAGCAGCGCTCGATCCATTTGTGAGGCTTGTTGTAGTAGTAGTAGTGGCGCCGTTGGTTCCGTTGGGGATGGTTGGCGGTTGGACTGCACCTCCGGCGTCGCCCATGAGTGCACCCATCCTGCCTTGAACACCCTTTAGCTCTCCACTCTTACTGCTCTCTTCCAAAAGTAGTGCGTCTGTACCCTCGATGATGCCAACTCTTCTGCCAGCGCCAAACTTGGCAAGCGTCTTTTCGTTCTCTGCCAGTGTTGCTGGATAGCCTAGTTCTCCAGGCGCAAACACGAGTGTCAATATGCTACCGTCTAGACTGGTGGCGTATAGCGTTTCCCCGTTTGGTGCCCACGACAAGTCAGAAATAGACTTTCCTGCCAGCTCCTGCGAGATCATAAACGGTCTAGGAAAGCTTGTATTCCACACACTCAAGCATTTGTCTTGTCCGGCGCAAGCAACAATTGTAACGGTTGGCTGATTGATAGTTCCGTCCTTTTCTGGTCGCGGTGGGTCCCGGTAAAACAATCGCGGAGAAAACGAGGTTACTTCAACGGGCCCTTCATGGCCGACCAGACTGATGTCTCCGTCCCACGAACCTCGCGCAAGGATAGCGACGGAGCTGACTGGCCCGTTTGTAGCATTCGCAGCGGCGATGTGTGCGCCATCGGGCGACCATGAGCAACGGCGGAAGTATGTGGTAAGTGGGGAGGTCTGGAAGGGCGCGGTGATGGTATGGTCCAAAACAAAGTTGTTGACCTGGTCTTGCTGCGAGGCGTTTGGCGGAGGAGAGTTGAATCGGTAAACCTTGATGGTGCGGTCGTCGCTAGCAGTAGCGAAGTATTTGTTGGCTGGGTCAAATGTTATGCCCTTGACGTGACTCTGGTGGTTTGATAGTGTCTTCAACTTCTCGAAGGAATGCCCAGACCAGACTACGACTTTCGAGTCCAACCCCACCGATACCAAGATTGACGAGTCGAATGACCAGCCAAGATCCTGCACATCGTTTTCATGTCCTATGAGGCGGCGAGTGACGCGCCAATTCTCGACGGGTGGGGGTTCGTTCGATCCTGCGATTCTATCAGCTCATCTTCATCGTGGGTGCCCTGCCTTTACCCACCAAATGTTGGACGCGCCGGCGCCGCATTTTTGTCGAGCGTGTAGACGCATACTATTTTGTCGTCTGCGCCAGAAGCCAGGTATTTGCCGTTGGAAGAGAAGCGGACCGCGTGAATGGTACCAGAATGATGGCTCACAGCCGCGAGCTGCTTTGGTTTCGTATACGAGGGGTCGTTTGAGTTCAGGATAGCCTCGGTAGACCATACACGTACATAGCCATCTGTAGATGATGTGTCAACAGTCTTCTCGGGAGAAACGCATCGCGCGGGAAACCCCAGGGTGGGTTGACGAACCTCCGGCAGCCGTGGCCAAGCGCGATCCATCAGGGGAAACGTGGCAACTGTATACTTCGAAGTCCTTCTGTTCGCCTATGACAAACTCGTGTCAGCAACATGGCAATACAACAATAGCACATGCATGCGCGGAGATGCACCAACCCGGGTGTGTTAACCACTGTGGTTTAATGAGATGCATGGTCGCGTAAATATCGCTAGCAGTTGAATCATGCTATTACGCGACCATGAAAGTAGGGCAGAAAAGGCTGGAAGAAGAGGTCGTGGGTTGATAGTTGGGGCGCACGTTTTGGTGAACCGCGACAGTTGTCTGGTGTTGGCGACGCGATCTCGCGGTCGACGCTACTTGGCAGACGTTTGGGCAGGGGTTTAAGGTTTAGGTGCATGCGCCGATCAGAAAGTGGACGTTAAACGAGCCGCTCAAGACTGTGGGGGTGTATCATGCATTCATGCTAACACTACGACTTGGTCTTCCTTCATCTCGCTGTCTCTAATCATCTGTTACGCAAGAACGGCTAAGGTCCTCTTCGAAGCTGGCCGGCCATCCCGCTTCCCTATTGGTTGCTTGTTACAAAGACATCTAAACCTGGAACTACACTACTCAACGCGGCATTCTCCTGAATGCATCCTACCCAGCTTCGTTATCCAAGTCATGATCCAGCAAGCCCTTGCATAGATGATAAAGATGCTCTGATACACGCATGTCCTGCTGCTTGGTGCCAATGCCCATACAAGTCTCGCTTGAGCTCATTGGAAGCAGATCCATTCAACGAACGTCCACTTCGAAACTGGATTCCATAACAGACGAGCCGAGGCTGATGACAGCGTGATCGACAGGTGGCGCATGGATTGTGGATGGAACGGGTCATGATGCTGCTCATTTCGCCTTCTTCCTCTTCTTGAACACCACCGCTGGTGTAGCTGGCGCATCCTCCTCCTTTTTCACAACGGCCTCGGCAGCCTTTGCTTCCGCTTCTTCAGCCGTGGGTATATCCTGCAGGGTCTTGGCCTCGTTCTCTTCTTCAACTTCAGCTTTCACTCCATCCCCAGGTTCTTCCCTCTTGACCTCTGGCTGCGATTTCTTCTTCCCAAGCAAGCTCTCAATGTCATCGTCATCGCCGCCCTTGCTGCCCGGGAAACTCTTGTACGTGTGTCCCCAGCCTTTCCGTTTGGTGATGAGCTCTCCGGCAGCCTTTTGCTCCTCCTCATCCTCATCCAGTTGCCGCTTCCGCACGCCCTTGTTCAGCGATGTTGCCTTGAACTCTCCGTCCTCGGTGACTTCTCCCACGACTTCTTCCTTTACTGTCTTCCATTCGCCCGCTATCGCCAAATCGCCTCTTGCAGCCGCGGGAAGCGCCACACCCATAGCTGCCAGCTGCTCCCATTGTCGTTTCCTGTCGTCTACTGTGGCCTTCTTCTCGGGTTCCTTCTTGAATGTGGGCTTGCCGCCGACGCCAGTCGCGACGGAAGGAGTCGAGGATGCCGATGGTACAATGCCATTCAGCCGAGCAACCTCTGCTTGTGCGCGCGCCTGGTTGCGCTTCTCGTTTTCCTGTTCGCGATGTAGTCCCTTCAGACTACGCTGGATATTGCCTTGGTGGCGGCCGGTCGCTTCGTGCTGCGCGCGCTCGAATTTGGTGTCCTTGACAAACACGGAGCAAAACTTGCACCAGTATTTTGGCTGCAGTAGGGTTAGGGTATGACGCGCTTATCTTTCTTGGTCTCACTTACTGTCGATTTCCAGTATTCGGCCATGGTTGAATGTCAGAGGAGTGCTTCGCAACCATCCAAAGTCGGGGAAAGCTTGCTAGCGCACGGTCCAAGTGGTCTCGGTGGTCCGCAATGCGAAGACGAGACGAGTTCGCATGGCGCGAACCACGACTGCGGATCTTTCACCGCTACCCCCACTTAAACACAAATCCGTCTTCACATGTCTCGCACTAGTTTCTCATCGTCATACCTTCCACATTTCTACATCGACGGGGCTAGGCTCTTGTGATAATCATAATGCACGTCATCCAGTCGACTAGGAAGAGAGTGGCATCTATCGAGACACCAGCTAGCAGCAGAAAAGCAAGCCCTTACTACTCTCGTGCCCTTACACGTACTAGAGAGTCGACTGCATTCATGCGTTTGGGCTAAAGGGCGCCTTAGCGATGCGCGCGTGAACATCAACCTTCCGTCTTAGCCGTCCATGTGTGTCTCGGTGGACTGTCTACACAATGTTGCCCTGCAACACCTCGCACACCCATGGAGCCTTCGAATGCTGTATCCCTGGCTTCATCCATCATACAACTTGTCGAGTACTCGGCCAAAGTGGTACACAAGGGTAAAGTGGGCGGTCTACGCGGATCTGATGCCAACACCTTGAAAGAACCTACACTGCTCGATGACGCGATAGCTAACCTCGCCGACTTATCACAACAACTCAGGAAGACACTGCATGTAGTCCGAAATTCCCATACTACTCCTGATCAACACAACACAGCGGATGCGCAACTTATCGCATGTGCGAAAGATGGTGCGAGAGTGGCGAAGATTTTACAAGCCACACTGGATCAAGCGAAGCGCAACAACGACGTGGATGAACAAACTGTACTTGATCATGGACTACGCAGCATCTTGTGTTTGTATTATAACCAGAAGACGATTTCAGCTTTTTCAGACACGCTCAATTCTGTTCGGAAGCAAGTAGATATCGCTCTTCTCGCCTCACTCAAGTAAGTGTGATACTCCCGATGCCATCACCCATTAATCGTTGACACAGAAAACCCATCTCACAGCTTAATCAAGCTCATCTGGAAAAGGGATGGCTTTCCGGGGACAAAGCGGCCAACGCCCGTGTGCGGTTACTTTACGCCGTCAACCGTCACAATTGGAAGCCCACGGAAACGGCCGACATTTCATCGTTTTCAGACGCTTTGAAAGACTCCGTTGTAAGCGGCGACACAGAGAGTCGCTTTGCGAGCATGATTTTGGCACACTTACGTTTCACTGGCTTGCCCGATCGCTTGAAGGCAATCCCGTGTACGCACCCCGGAACTTTTCAATGGACGTTCGACGGAAACTACCAACGGACTGACTCTCGTGATTACGAATCCTTCCCTCGGTGGCTCGCTGCAGTCGACTGTAGCAACCTGTATTGGGTTTCTGGCGAGCCCGGTGCTGGGAAGAGTACGCTGATGAAGTTCCTATCCAGTCACCGTCGGACTGCTGCCCAATTACAAACCTGGGCTAAGGGAAAACCAGTCGTCAAGGGAAGATTTTTCTCCTCAAGTCTGGGAAACAACATGCAAAAGTCGCGATTGGGCCTTCTACAGACTCTGCTTTATTGCGCACTCAAACGTGACAGGAACACTCTACTACAGGTTTTCCACCATCGCTGGCAGCAATTTCGGACTTTTGGCGGGGGTCGACAACCTTTTACTTGGAACGAGCTACGCCATGCTTTCATCATGATGGCCTCCACCCCTCTTACGCCGAGGTCATTTTTCTTCGCGATCGATGGCCTAGACGAACTTGACGGAGACCCGAAAGAACTTGTGCAATTTCTCACGGACGTGGCTAAGTTTCCGCAAATCAAACTTTGCGTAGCTAGTCGGCCAACACCAGAGTTCCTTCGCATTTTCAAAGGCGAGCCTTGTCTTCGCCTCGAACGGTGCAATCGCCAAGACATCCACAATTACGTCAAGGCTTCGTTCATAGGCAACGAAGTGTATGCAAAGTTCAATAGATCAGACCCCGGATCTGCTACCAATATCATCAAAAATATAGCCAAGAAGGCAGCCGGCATCTTTCTCTGGGCATATGTCGTGGTAAATGTTCTGCTTGACGGACTGGTGACAACAGCCCGCATTCACGACCTTGTCGCTCAACTGGAGTCCCTCCCGTCTGGGTTGGAGCAACTCTTCACGAAACTCATTGGTAGTCTAAATACACGGCACCTGAGGCACGCCTGCCAACTCTTCCGTCTGTTTGCCGTAAAAACACGACCAATGTTACTGGAGCTCTGGTTTGCAGACTGTGAAAATGATGATCCGGCACTGAGGAGCGAGGCCAGGCCGCTGGCAAGATCTGAGATCTTGGTACGTCTCGGAACTATGAAACGTCAGCTAAACTCTCGATGTCGAGGTCTACTAGAAGTGGAAAGCTCGCACAAGGGCTCCAGCGCCGTGCTGTCGGAAGGTACGTTCGTGTTGTATTCGAGGTCCAATCGAAGCTGAACACAAGCAGCATCTCGTGTCACCTGGACACATAGCATTGCGCGCGACTTCGTCCGATCTCAGCGAGTCTGGAACATCGTGCTCGATAATACCGGACACGACGCTTTCGATCCGCAATGGCACTGGGCCAACGGGCAACTCGGTCTATTTAAAACACTTGCCGCTACCACCAGAACCAAGACCTCCCACTTCGCTTCCTGCATCGAATACGCATTAAGACTAGAACACCGTCTCCAGATTTGTCCAATCAAATTTCTGGATGAAATAGGACGTACTGCAGTCATATACCCGATAGTATACGGTGAACTCATACCTCGCAAGCTAAATGTCAGCGTCGACAACTTTCTTGATTTTGCTGTGTTGTTCAATCTCGCCAGCTATGTTCGTACCAAAGGTGTCACGCTACCAAGAGAAGACTTGATGCGTAGTTGTCGCTTACTAGGCTTGCTAGATGTCAAGCAATGGGAGGTATGTTCAAAACGCCTCGGCGCCCCAGCAGTCTGGAACGCGGATTTCGAGGAAAGGAAAAGAGAGATGGAGCGTGTAATGAATGGTTTGCTTGATCGTGGGAGTGACAAATCGAGATGGGAGAGGGCTAAGAAGAAGCTGTCTAGGCAGAGAAAGACGTGATCTGTCGCTCTTGAACGTACGTTTCGATAACTTGGACAGAGTATACAACGGATGGCTTGGCAGAACCATTTCACGTCTTACCATCCGGGATCATTGCAGAGGGTCTGCATAGTATACATTTTAAGAAAAAATTATTGTACATCGCGAATCGTGGAAACAACACGAACATACCAAGCATACCACCTCATTCCCTTTCCAGGGCCGCCAGATTGAACTCCGTGTACTCCGGCATCTCCCACCTCTTTTCCTTCCCTTCTGGTAAAAGTCCCGCAAGCCACCCGATCACCCTATCAACTCTTAGACTACTCACCGTCCAAAGCGCCCAACCCGCCATCCAAAGCCCCCACTCTGAACTCGGAAGGGGACCCTTTCCATCCGCGTAGGGCCCAAGCTTCTGACATTCCTCAACAGGCTGCTTCATGCCCTCTTGATAGGCTTCCAGCGCGGCATCGACGTCATCCCCGTGTTGAAACAACTCGCCTGCAAGGATGTATGCGCCGATGAGGGAGAGTGTAGTGCCCATTCCTGTAAAGGGTGAGGGACAGTATCCCGCGTCGCCAAGGAGGACAACGCGGTCCTTGTGAAGTTTTTGCTGAGGCATCTTCACTTGGCCGATTTCTGTGGCATAGAAATCTTTTACAGTGTCTAGGCCTTGGAGAAAGCGTGGGCACTCCCATCCTGCATCTTGGTACAAGCTCTTCCAAGCATCTTTCTGTTCCTCGGCGGATCTCTTCTGGTAAGTTGCCATGTGGCTTGCTCTGTCTTTGTCTTTGCCGTTCATGAGGAATAGGTAGACTTGCGTCGCCGGTTGGTTGCCCGTACGTGTCATTACCATGCGGTTGTTGGAAGCGAAGTAGATGCGTGCTAGGCTATCTTCTGTGGGAAGACGAGGGATCTTGTAGTATGCGGCATGGATATTCATGGAGTGGAAAGCCGAGCTGGAGATTTCGGAGCCAAAGGCAAGGGAACGGGTTCGTGAAGCTTGACCATCTGCTGCGATTACCAGATCGAAGGCGCGGGTCTCGCCGGTGGAGAATGTTACTGTTGCTGTCTTGGGGGAAGATGAGGATTCAGAATGTGAAAGCGCGGTGATGGTTTTGCCGAACTCGTAGGTCAGTCCACCTTTGACATGTCCTCTGGTGGTTAGAATCTCGCGTTCCTGGATGCTGATATCATGCATCATTTTGACAAAATTCCCCCTCATAAACTCAAACTCATGGGTTAAAGTCAATGCCCCAGCGGTATCTCCTGCTTTCGTGATACCGAATTGCATGAGGCTTTTACCATTTCGGTCAACAAACTCCATGCCGCCTTCCTTGACACAGTAGGAGCGAATTGTGTCCAGGAGACCTAGTCTCTCCAAGATAGGGATGCCTTGTGCTTTGATATCGATTTGCTGTCCACCCGTCCGGAGCGTGGGAAATCGTTCTATGACCGTGATCACGTGATTGGGGTTAGAACGTTGGAGCATGAGGGCGAGGGCCGGACCGCAGACGCCCGCGCCTACAATGAGAATATTCAAGGATGATGGCAATGTCGTCATCTTTGCGATAGTAGCGCTAATGTATGAGCACGTAGGCTAGACAAAGACGAGGGTTTGTGGAGGGTTTACGGAAGGCTTGTGGTAAGAAGCTTGTAAAAGACTTGTAAGAAGCTTGGTATTGATTCTACCTAGAGATTAAGTTTAGCTTTCAAGAGTTTCCCCGAGTCGCGCCGCATGTTATATTCCCGTTGCTACACAAAGCCATCGGCGTACGAGTCGGCTCCGACTTCCAATCCGTAAGACCGGAGGTATCTCCGTGAGGCACATTAGCGGCCGTCGGACAAGCTCTTTGAGGCTGGTGAAAGGCCGGTGCTAACTTACCCTCAAATTCACATGCCTGCTTACTACTAATCTAATCTGGTCTGATGGCGTGATGTCTTCGCTGAAGTTGCTGAAGTTGATACTAAGCTTCTTGATTCAGTGCTCTAGGCAACAACAAAAGTGATGTCGCGCAGTGGGTCTCACTGTTGCTTGAGGGTTGTGAAGACAGTCATTGGATACATGATTTAGGCAGCGAAGAAAGCACTATAGTACGAGCATTAGGCTACAGCCCATGGCACCATGAAGTCGAAATTCCTTCACGGGGGTATCTAACCATCTGCGGACACCTCAGAAGCCCATATCCCAGCCCCTTTCCTGCCCACTCACTCAGATCGATATCGGTACTATCCACAGTCTCCCAGCCCATCTTCTCGTAAAACCTCTCGGCCGAAGCAGTGGTCTGTACGATTACCACTTCCTTCTCTAGTTCGTACTCACGATACATGTAATCTACCATCATCCTCCCGACCCCCTTTCCCTGCCACGCAATCTTGACGTTCATAGCCCCAATTGCTGATTCATGGTATAAGATATCAGTCTGCTTGTTGAGTAGATTCTAGCTGGGGAAGAGCTACTTACTGACATGGGGCTTACCAGCCGTGATACCACGCCATTTAGCGATCACATTCCTCGACCAGTACCGTCCAAATGTCCCTGGATTAGTAGGTCCTATTTCTTCATCTGGAGCGACCGCCTGCGCACTTGACGGTGTCACAGCATTAACCCAGCTCCCGTCCTCCCACTTCACCAGCCCCCATCCCACCGTCTCTTCGTTCCGTGAATCCACGGCTTTGATCAAGTGAAACTTTTGCCCATCGGGTTCAGTAAAACGTCCGGAGAGTCGACTGATGAGGGCATCTGACTCTTTCTCTGCAGCAATGCTGTGGTAGGGGCTGAACTGGAAATGGGTCAGTAAAGAGGTCTCAGCGGCTTTCGTGCGAATTTCTGCGAGGGTGGGGATGTCGGAGAGAGTGGCGGGGTGGATGGAGATGTATTCTGTCATCCTTGTTGTGCAGTGTAAGCGCAAGGTATCGATCGATGTGGGATGTTGGTATGATCTTTGTTGCGTTTAGGATACCATACCTATTGCGGGATCAGTCACGATTAAGGACGCCGATTGTGGCGAAAGAGTGATAATACCATGTCGCATACCTCCTGCCGCAATTGGCGTAGTGCTTAGAGCTATCACATCTTACCACAGCAAAGACTTTAGCTTTGGGAACCTGGTTTCCTAGGCTCGAGGTGCATATGGACCCTGCAAAGTCGACCAGTTGATATTAGCCTCAGTCCTTCAATGCTCTCGGACGTTTAAGCTTACTATTGTTGATGCTCTCAAGAGAGTTTACGTAGCTGCGGACTTACTAGGACTTTGCGAGCCTTTGCAACGCATGTGTGACTGCAGGCTATGTAATTGTGACGAGTAAAACAAATAAAACGTAGACTACGGACAGTACAAGGATACTCGACGCTCAACCAAAATCTCCAAGCCACTGGCGAACGAAGCTGCGCTGTAAGCGGCTGCTCTATCCTCGCGAAGTATGCAATGTTCCCCACTTTCCTGCTCTGCGGCCCATACAGCCTTCACGTACGTCCAGACAAGCAACGCCAGTACATCTCTTCAACATCTAAGCGCTTTTGGGCAATGAGATCCCTTGGCAAATCATCCCAATCGAGTAGTATCGCTAGCGAAGGCCTTAAGAAGCAAAAGGTTCACCAAATTCGTCGAAGAGCCGGACTCTACAGCACGCATTATGGCGCGTACCACGAGAGAAATGAGACATTATGTGTTGTCGCTGCGTAGGCGTCGTGATGGTGTTCGGTGACCCGCTCGGTGGTGAATCACGTTATAAAATAAAAAAATCCAGTCTCAGAATGATGTTCACAAAGCTTGCCGCACTTGAGAATGGCTTAAAAGGGGTTTTCTCCCTCGGTTTCTGTGGTCGGTTCACTGTGTTCATGCCTCCGGTCGGCCGTCCGACTGTCCTATTTAGATAAGTCCAGCCTTGCTCCTTAGAGATGTCGTGGAACTTGAACAGGTCATTATGGCTGTATGGAATGCCCTTCGCGTCCATGTACTCTGCAGCCCCCTTGATGCGGGATCTCTTTGGTGTATCAATTTTGACAATACCCTGTCTTGAAATGGCAAAGAAGATGCGCGCAAGATGTCCCGGTATTAATAGGGTAGTGGTGGAGTAATTCAACATTGAAGTTAGGATATTGTGGAGATGACCATTTGTTGGAGTGCGCGGCTTACGCGCTGGGCCCCTTCTTGCTCGGCGCGTGGCGAGCAAAGTCCTTTGACCCGTAATGACTTAATTTGCTGCAGGGCTCTAGGCTTACTCTGTGGCTTACTCTGTGGCTTCAGACTACACCCTTTCCAGAAGATCCTGCACGCCTTACAGACTCTAGCGTCGCAGAGAAAGCCGGAAGTAAGATCAGCTACAAACAGGTCTCTTCTTCTAGTTACGCACCACGATACAGCTAACAAATTCTAATAAAAAGACAGAATATATAACAGAATGACAACATGCTTGTAAATGTAGAAGCCTTTAGGCACTGGATAAAAAAAAATTATTGGGGGCCTTGTTGTGTGAGGAGGGCTCTCCACCATTAGCCTATGTCTGGCTTTCTCGGCGACGCTAGAGCCAGAACATCTATCTCCGTAATCCTAAGTTGTAAGATTTGTCTAGGGTACAAATCCTACCCCCAAATTTAGCGGATGGATAATAACGGGATGGATCTCGCCCTTTTTCTCTCCAATGGTTTCCTGAATCATTCTTTCTGGTTCGCAGGCTGCTGCGCTACCCTTTCACGTTAGAGTACAGTACCGGTACTATGCTTATCCGTCCCAACCATGTGTCTTGCTGGCGGGCAGGTTTGTTCGCGGGACTATGTTCCATCATCGCTCTTTACATCTTCTTTGCACGAGGTCACATCTCAACCCTCCAACCATTTCTGTCCGCCGGCTCTGCCTTTTCTGCGGACTACCAGACTAACCTCATCCCCTACTGGAAAGAGCTCGCGAGTTCCCTCGAAGCCGCGCGCCCAGTATGTCCTCCCATCAACGTCACGACCGAGGAAATGCCCAATGAGGATAGAAACTTTGAACCGCTCAAGAAGAAAGAGAGACCGGAACGATTGTTTCTGCCGGCAGAAGATGAGGCGGAGCTGATGCGTGCACATCGCAGTATGCGCGTCGCAGCCCGACGCCTAGCACCGCTATTACCAGTTGGAGATGAGACCGGTATCGTCACGACTGGCGGATTGAAATTATTCCCTGTCTTACTTGTATCTCTACGCATGCTTCGGCGGACAGGATGTACGTTACCGGTTCAAGTTTTCCTCGGTGATCAAAAAGAGTATGAAGAAGTAAAAAGTACATGCGAGGATGTGCTACCAAGTTTAAATGCAAAGTGTCACGTCGTTGAAGATGTCTATTCGACAGCGGATGTTGCTATCGCGCCGCCAGAGCACTTTCAATTCAAAATCCTCGCCATTCTCTTCTCGTCATTTAGACATGTTCTTTTTCTCGACGCGGATGCATTTCCGGTACACGACCCAACACCTCTCTTCAATGTACGTCGCCTATCCCACAGCCCAAACCCAAGCTAACCAACTTTGCGCAATGATAGTCCCCACCATACACAACCCACGGCCTCGTAACGTGGCCCGGATTCTTCGCCAATACCGCATCCCCACACTACTACCACATCGCAGGCATCGCCGTACCGCCACCAAACCGCGGCACCGAATCAGGCCAACTACTACTGGACAAGAAGCACCATGCTGAAAGTATTCCCATGATGGTATATTACAACTACTTCGGCCCGGACTACTACTATCCTTTACAATCGCAGAACGGCCCGGGGCAAGGCGATAAAGAGACGTTTAGCGCTGCTGCCGTGGCAGTGAATGCGCCTTTTTACGGGGTGAAAACCCCCGTGTCAGCCCTAGGGAATCATGTCAATGGACAGTATATATTCGCTGGAGCTGGCCAAGCAGATCCCATGCAAGATTATCTCTATGACCCTCCTTATCCAAACCACATACAACCCGAATACGAACGAAATGAGGAGAAGAACCAAGTTAGAGCCTTTTTCGTGCATACAGTGTCTCCGGAAACGAAACTCAATCCGCTGAAGCTTTTGCGCGAGGGCGGCGTGGCATGGGATGCAAATGGGGATTGGCATAGGATATGGGGGAAGGAGAAGAACGTAGTGGAAAAATTTGGGTACGATGTGGAGAAAAGAATGTGGGAGTGCGTGGAGGAGGAAGCGTGCAGGACGGATCAGGATGTGTGTATGGAAGTCAAGGCTTTCTATGCGAAGGTGTTTGGGACGATGCCGGCAAGATAGCGACAGGACTTGTGTTGAAGAACTGCGACTGCTTCACTGTTGTTCCTGCATGGCCATCAGTCATTGCCTTGGTACAAGTGGGCTACTGGACGCGCTTGCGGCGTTGTTCCATCTCCTTGTACAGGTCTTTGATCGAGCACCACGGCCGTCGCACCTTGTTCGCGTCTTGCCAGCCAATACGTGGCGCAGGACCGGGCAGGAAATTCGTTGGAAAGCGCGCGTTCGGCATTAGAAAGACCGAGGAGTGTTGGATCGGTATTGCTGTCCCGACGCAGGACTAGAATGGCTCAAACGCTTGGATTGGAGTGCGCGTACCGTTTGGCTAAGCGAGACAGGAGTAAGCGTGCGATGAAACACTGGGCGGCGTGCAGAAAGCAGAAAAACTGCAAGTGCATGAGAGTGTATATGTGTCCGTGGCGGAGTCTTCCGACATAACGAAGTAATGTTCTCCCGATTGGTTTACCTGAGTAATATTGATGACATCTGAATAATGTTCTTGGGTTGATAACTTGATAGCTACATTAGTTACCAGCTTACTACGTACAGTGGAAACAACGTGTTCGCACTAGCCGCTCGACCAACTAGGCGCTGCTGGTTGACCTTGAGAAGTGCGAAACGGAAGCGACTAATCTGCGCAGATGTCATTAGCCAGGTCGCTTTCGTGATCGTTCCGTGAGAGACAGCTTCTTGTCGTACGGATATCGATAGTCGTCTAACCCATAGCTGATAGGGTCCTTAGCAAAGTTGAGGTCCCCAACATCCCAAGTTGCCTTGATGTCCACGTTCAGGCTGGAGGCCAACTGCTTGATCATTGCGCCGTTTTCGCGTACTACCGCAATGTGCATGAGACTGAGTCCATCACGAAACGCAAGATTGAGATTCGCTCCAGGACGTGTCAGCATCATTCTGCAGATGACTTCTGATCCAAATGCTGCTGCTGCGCCCAGAAATGAGTTGTCGCAGCTATCTTGGCAGTTTATGTCGATATCTTCGCTGTGCAGGTGCAGGTGCACGTAGTCGTCAGCGTGCCTACCTCTCAAGAGAGCTCGGAAAAGGGCTGCGTGCTTCAAATGGACAGGTGCGACCCCAATGATATCGGCAGCTACCCGGCTACCTTTGATCCAACAATCGTCCATTAACATCTCCTTGTCAACCGTCATTCCATATTTTCTCCTGATTTCCCAATCTCTCTGGTCCTCGGTGTAGAGCCAAACCTTGTGCTTCTCCCACGACGACGACTGCTTCACCTCCACACTTGTTGGCGTAGGCATATGGATATTCTTATTCTTTCATGGCTAGGTGCTATCGTACTGGGGCTCGGCATGGCGGCGTTACACTTGCTCAGACGTTTTGGCCCCAGTATACTAATGTATCTTGAGATTGTGCGCGAAACGAGAAGATGGGACGCTATGGATCCATCAAACCCGTGTCTGGAGCTATGGAAAGACAACCTCGAAGATGAACTATGGTGGTTTTGAGAAAAGCCCGCTACAGCCGAACCATATTTCACACCTCCAAACATGCGAACATCAGCTCGTGGGAGTCTAGCATTCAACATCAATCATATGATCCCTCTGCACTATGTCTTCTGAAACAGATGCATTATTGCAATGGCTGGAAATTCGCAACATTCGAAGCGTAAGATGTTCTCCCGCACCATCGCGGTAAGCTGAATTTGTGCATTGTCTTGTGGTATCCCAACTAGGTACAGAATCCAACCAGAATATGCCTGGATATTTAGGAAGTCACCGGGGTGAATGCGCCTTAGTCTCCCTATTTCTGGACTCAATGTTACAGTTCAGCATATAGCTTCCCCACACCAGTCAACTTCCTTCCATCACTCCCCTCACAATCTTCACTCATCTCACAGAAATCGTTCTTCTTCCCCACCCAAGGCCCAACCGTCTTTCCCTGCCCGTTACCAAAGTATGCATACCGCTCAACCCACTCACACCCATCCAGCCACGGCAACGCTTCTTTCATAAACGCCTCTACCTCCTGCTCGCTGACCTCGCCATTCCCCATCGTAGAACATGCAAACTCATTAACCCACAGAGGCAGTTTATAAGTACTATGCATATCCTCAAGGTATGTCTTGAAATCTGTAAACCGTGGGCCGTACCAATGTACGACCAGAAAGTCTACCTGAGCATCACCCTCCAGCTGCCCAAAAAACCGGTCAAGCCACGGTTTACTCCTTCCTATGTCACTGCTCACCCCAGGACTACCCAGCTTAAGTCCGAATTTGCTCTTCGCTGGTAGAACAACCTCCCTCCACAACTTGACTGCTTCTTCAACGCTTAAATTCGCTTGATCCGGTATCTCAGGCTCGTTGAACCCCAGCAAGTAACTGACATTCGCTTTTTTGTTGCCGATGATGTCGGAGAGGAATGGCATTACATCTTTTGCTTGTGCAGCGGTGCGCACACAGGGTACCCATTCTATGGAGCTGGGAAGTCCCGGTGGAACCCAGAGCTCCCAATTGAAGAGCCAAGTTATCCTATCACAAGAGGTGTAAACGGGAAAATGGGATGCCGGATAGTCCCATGGCCAGCCAAGACCGCGTTTCGAGGGCATGTTTGAGGAATTCGAGATAGGCTGTTTGGGAGGAAAGGTGGGCGAAATGATGATGACATCATGTGCTAATTTAGCGCGCTATCTAAGCAGCATAACTTATATAGTACCCTTGCGGTCAGTTCAAAAGACTTTATAGTGTAGTTACGTTAGCTAAGGCTAAGCTATGTTTTTACAAGATATTGTGCTTGCTTGTCTTAATGCAAAGATGATTATAAATCCTATCTTTCCTGTTGTTGTATGTCAGCCACGATCAAGCGAGCTTCAGTTTATCTGGCCAGATTGCGAAGAATGGGTTTGGATGCGTGGAGGCGTACCGCGAGGAGGTGATCAAAAGGTTTGAAGCCAAATATGTCGTCTAAGACTGGCGAACTGATCATACTCGATTGACCAGAGAGACAGTCCTCAGCCAGGCAGATGACTCCTCAAAATTGAATTAGCTCCCAAGCGCTTGCACTGCACCGCAAGTTCTAGCGCAAAGAACCTCTTCGCAGCCTGTTAACCTGCCTCGAACATGCACAGCCTTACAGCCTTACATGCAATGGGCGTTTCTGGAGGCAAGGCTATATGCAAGGCTAGGAAGCCGGGGGCGTTCAGCCTAGGTTCAATAGGGACCTGGTTAGGAATATAGTCCAACCCCTAGTTCAGGTGCGTAGCATCTTTCAACAGCACCACTCAAGTATCTAGCTGCTCGGGCCGTCAGCTCCATCTGTTCCTGCATTGTCACACCCACGACCAAAACCTCGACGGTGGTTCAGACCTTCCCGGCGGCCACGTCAACGGTAACGGCACCTACCTCAACCACGACTATTGCCGCACCAATGGTGCTTGTGTAAGCCCTCATCCCTAGCTTTTTGATCGCTGGACGACTTTACGCTAACACATCGGAGGACTTCCACAACTACAAATACTGTAGTCATTACCACAACCACTACCATCGTACGTAGGACACCCACAACCCATGTCCTAGACTTTCTAACTCCCCATCTTTAGACAAGCATCACAACCACTCCCGCAGCCACAGCCACGGTTGCACCAGTTGTTGCTGGCGGCGGCTCTTGTGGCTGCTCCTACACCTCCGTCTGCGGGACTCAGTACGTTGACACTGGCGCCGGAGTCTACATCACGCAAGCCTCCTCACTGCAGCAATGCGTACAACAATGCGACGAAAATTTCCTATGCTCAGAGTACTCTTTTCAGTACAGCACTGGAGTTTGCACGCAGCTGCATGGCGAATACAACGCAGTAGCGAACGCGGGTTTTGCCTCCGGAAGCATCGCGACTGGTGGGCGTTGTGCCGGAGTATGTTCTACAAGCAACTAGTGAGATTGCGTGTCGGATGGAGGCCGGGGTTTGAGACTCTTTCAAGAATGTGTGTTGAGGAGCTGTCGTAGGTTTTGCATTGACCAAAAGGATCGCCCAATTAAGTGGTATTTGTTAGATGAGAGCTCCAAATCTTGATATGCGACCTGTTTCCCACAGCTTTGCTGCTGTCGTCGCGCCTATGCGAGATAAAGTTAATGATAGAAGCCACAAGTGCAAGCAAACAAGATTTTGCTTTACTACATTAGCATCCACAAAGCGCCATCGTGTTTGGGTGAAGAACTTGTCGCGGTTGAAGCGAGATGGGAGGACAGATAATGACACTTGGAGTTGCGGACTCGAAGGGGTCCACGAGCGGATCACAAGCGCCAAGCAAACGTGAAGCTCACGGCTTCGCATCACGAACACCGACCTGCACCAACTCAACCGCTTTCCACACCAATTGTCAACGCGTAGGTCACGAAACATTGTACGAACAAACCCTGAGCTCTTTCTTTCAATCGCCGAATACTCTACGCATCGATCGGGTTCGTGCACCCCGCCAACTTCGCAATGGCTATCTTGGGAACGGCGCTTAACGGCATCGGCGCGCTCTTCCTCACACATGCGTACGTACACATGTAGCCCACGTAGGATCACCTCCAAATCGAGAGATCCACGAGTATTGCTACCTCCGCCATGACGACAACTAACCATCACCAGCGTCTACTCCACCCACGAACACACCGCAACCTTTGCCTCAACACCCCTCCCGCTCGACATCTCGCTCGAACTCCTCACATCCATTTTCCTCCTATCTCTTGGCATTGTCCTATCTTTTGCGCCGTTGAAACCGATACAATACGCACAATGGGCGGGCCAAATGTCGAGACAAGGACGACACGGAGAGGGACAGTACACAAAAGAGGGCGAGGAGATCTTGAGCGAAGGCGATCCTTATGCATTCTTGGGGCTAGACGGTGGAATTGCCGGGAAAGGCGAAGGCAGGAGGGGCTTCTGGGACGTTAAAGGGAAGAAGAAAGAATACGAGGAATGGGTTAGGCAGGGGGGCAAACAGTAGATGTGTGCGGACAGGGAGGGTCGATATGGGTTAAGAGGCCCGATGGGAAATGGGAAGTATGGAGCACAAGCGATGTGCATTCAGGTTGCTTGTCAAGTGTGCATGCCATCACGAAGCGATTAGGGTTTGATACCAAAGACGATTGTGTGTCGACTACCGTTGCTTCCATCGTACATCGCCCAAATGCCCTGCCCAGATACTGTATACTGTTTGCGGAGAAAGACCAGAATCCCAAACGCCATGCTTGAACGAACAAAACCAAGCAATTGCTGACAATCTGTTCTCTCGGACCCTTCCTCCATTTCCCGTCTCTTACGCGTCGCTTGTCAGCTTCTCCACCGGGCTACCCCCACAGTTATTCACCCTACAAGTCCAACACTCATTCCCATCCATTTCCTTCCCAATCGCTGCAACATCCGCACTCCTCCTCCTAGGCCCCACCTCGTCTCCGTTGACATCGACACCACTAACCCACCAAATTCCCGCCGCGATAATCCTAGCAACAACCTCCACCTCCTCCTCATCCCTCGGTGCATAAATCAGCATGAACTCTCTCGGAACAAACTTTCTACACCATCCCCCCCTCGCCAGCGGATGTCTCTCCCCCCACCCTTTCTCAATCATAAGATTGGCATCGGCAGGATGCAGAGTCATATGCATGGACCCATCACTCGGGTGTGCATGACAGATCTCCCCTCCACACGTCCTCGTAATTGGCACACTGGTAAACAACCCCGAACTATGCTTCTCAAAACAACTCGTTCGTTCCAGTAGCTGGTTACGGGGATCCGCCGCAAGGCCCTTGATCTTGCTCACCAGACAACTGTAGACAGCCTCTCCACTCTTCTGCGTCTGCTGCCGCTGTGGCGCAATACCTCGGATCAACGGCTTAGGCCCTTTCCTTCCTGGCAACACGTCGGCATCTACAAAGTACCCTTTTTGTGGCCGGAAGTGCGGTGGTATCGCGATTGGGCGGAGGGGGTTGCGAAGGCAGATTAGCGACAAGAGTTTGATCTTTAGGTAGCCTAGGGGTGTTGCTGGCGTGCCACCGGGGCCAAGGGAGAGGAAGGCGCAGTAGTCGGCATGGATGTAGATGGCTGTTATGAGGGGGAGAGTGAGCGTTAGGGTTGCGATGAGCATGTGCAGGTGTGTTTCCGTGAACATGCTTGATTGAGGTGAGGGCATGGTGGGTTGTTGGAGGGCTGGGAGGAGGTCTGCTGTTGTGAGGTTGTTTGTGTCGAGCATGCCGACTGTCGAGGTGATTGTAGTAAACGGCAAGTACTTGGAGACTGTTTTGAGGTAGAAACAAGAACCAGGACCGAGGTTCTTACAGTCCTCTCTTATGGATACAGTACCTCTTGACGACAAAAGGATACGCAAGAAACAACAGCTCCGTGGCCCCAGTAGGAAGGGCAGGTATCCTCGCAAAAAAGGTCGGTGTACCACACAAACGCAGGGTCCGCGGAAACTAGAAGAAATGACGTTGGATTGATACAATAAAGAAAGCTACTCCATCAATCTCAACAAACAACGTCAACTTTCGGTGATAGTTCAAACTATAGAACTGCGAAGCTCAAGAGCCTCAATGCTAACGGTGGCATTCACCACACGCCTGGGCACACGCGACCCTTTTTATAAGCCCATTCCAAGATGCTTGAGCCACGCCCATCCGCAGCGCGCGACGTCAAGCTCTCTGTACCCCGTGGTCCCGACCGTCCACGTGCCTAGTCCTGCATCCGGTTAGTACGGACTCCGTTTGTGGGCCCCGGGGTTTAGTGGCCGTCGCGCTAGGGTACTCATTGGTCCACCTCACGCGTGCCTGTGACGTTGAACCTAATTCAATTGCTGGCTTTTCGCTTCGCTTTCCTCAAGCCTTTTTCCCACACTGACAGCGCTCCTTCGTCACTGTGTCGTGGGTGCTCGTTTACACGCGAAGGCTTGGGCTTTCGTGTTGGGTGTATGTCTGACTCGATGGAGGGAAAGGGCGGGGAGCGGTATCTTAGGTGGTGAGGAGTGAGGGGATGCTGAGGTCAGCTGCGTTCACGTGGTCTTGTGCATGCTTGGTTCCGAGTACGCGGCAGCTTGGAGCTGACTCTGGGACGTAGATGGCTTCGTGTGTGTTCTTCGTCAGAGTATGTCTTTGTCGTATCGGTATTGCTGCTTCGATTGGCTGTACCGCAACAAGCTATGGCCAACGGCTTGGTGTCTCGATACTTGACGAGCGAACCAAAACCTTTCCAGAATGAGATGATGACCAGGCACCTCCCTAGCTTTGCAGCATCAATACCCGCTAGTTCACGATGACTGTTGTTGGCGTTGTTCAAGGGCACCGTGCAGCATGCAGTGTGATCGGAGGAGCGGTGATGCGTGGCGCGCTGTGAGCTCTTTGCTTTATCGCCGAGCTCGGAACCTAGATTCTCGAACAGTACTGAAAGGGCACGAATGCTCGGTTTTGACATGGGCGAACATGATTCCTTTATGAGCATTGTGCTCGCAGCTACGGATTTTCGGGCCGCGTAAGCAACTACAGCTCTCTTTTGCACTTACACTCACCTTGATACCGCATCAGCCTAGGCACTAGGAATAGAACGGTGCAACACGAGAATATATGGTCCGCAAATAACGGAAAGAGGATAACAATTCTTAGTATTTGCATGGCAAAAGCATGCGAGCTTGGACCGAAGCATAGCACAAATCAGAACCTGCATTCCACTTTCAACCCAGCTTTCAACCCAGCTTCAAAACGGCGATAGTATGCCACCAGGTGATGCTGCGCCGAAATTGATACCCAAAGCGAAGAAGGCTTTTGTATACATGGCAAGACTCTAGTGAATTGCGTTACCAGCCTCTGGTCAATCTCACTGTTCTTCTTCATTACTTTCCGAACCATCTTACAACTTGCTTATCCTCCGAATCCTCAAGATCTTGCTCACGGACCGTAACATCGATGTCCCCCAGCTGTAAGCAGACTTCCAATCATGCTTCCAGTCCTGGATAGTCTGTTTAGATACTCCCTTTTCTAGAACGATGGAAAGCTCGAGCATTGTGTGAAACTCTTCATGAGAAAGCTTGACAGAAATCGGCTCCTCAGAATGACGGGCAACCATACTCATCACGACAGAGGCAAGATCTTCATGGTGCCATTCACCGTCGTCATCGGGTTCACACCTGTTGAGCCATACGATCCTAAGTAGGGGGTACCTATGTAGGACCGAAACGACTGCAAGCACATTGATTGAGTGACTTGGAAAGAAGGGGGCCACCACATCGATGACGCAATGCACATCCTCCAGAGCTGAGCTGGGGTAGCGAACGAAGAAGTGATGTGAACCCTTGTAGATATCCTCAAGTTTGAGCCTGACATTACCCCGAAGAATGAATAACATCCCGAACTCAGAGTGAATCTGCTTGTGGATGCAGGCTAGGTTGGCAGCTTCGATCATTGTCGGCTTGAGATTGATGAATTCCTCGTAGATGGCGTTGCGTAGCTCTGTAGTCTTGTATCAGCTTGCGGGAACTGGGTATTGTAATTGATAGAGCAAGTACCTCCACACAAGTCGAAGAACGAGATACCGCCGCTAAGGTTTCTGGCACTTTGATCATTAGTATAAGCTCATTGAAACTCGTGTATAGACAAGACTTACTTGACTGCCATGGTGGTCTTGTGAAGTTATCCTTCGATACTCGTGTAGTACTTAGGAAAGCAGGTAGGAAAGACGGAGAGTGAGTGTCGTAAACAGCTAAGCTATTGATACGGGCGGGAGCGCTTGTCAGGGTCCGTGCTAGAGCCGCACTAAAAAGTCGAGGTGAGTGAGAGTGAGGGAGTATGAGGATCAAGATGGATGATGGTATCAACTGGAACCTCAAAGAAGCAAGTACGGAAGACGTGACTTGCGTTGCCAGAATCACCTTCACATGATGGAACAAAACTTTGGAATCATAATACTTCGTTATGTAGTGTTTACACTCACTATCTGCACATCTCAGGAGATCAATAAGCTCCTTCCCTCTTCTCATACTCACTTCCCATAACAGTAGCCACACTCTTCATTCCACTCCAAATCTCCGCATCAACCTCCAACTCCAATCCATCCACCTTTGTACTTCCACCGTCCAGACCCCAAAGACTGACACCCAAGTAATTGGTACCGTTGTAATTCAAGATACCCTCTGTAACAGGGAACTTGACCTGCGGGCCCACATTACTAACGTACTTGCCGTACTGCCAGCCGTTGACGTAGAGCTGGACGCGGTAGGCGGGGACGCTGGAACCAGAAGAAGAAGAGTTGCTGGAAGAAGTGCCGTTTGTGAAGGTGAAACTGAGGGGGATGTCGTAGCCAGAGGGCATGTTGAGATCGAATTCAGTGGCGAAGAAACCAATGCCTGGGGCGGAGATGCCGTCGGCAACTGGGCCGGCGGAGGCTTGCCATTTGGCGTCTGTTGCTGCGAGAGCACCGGGGAGGTGTAGACCCTGGCGTTCAACGTATAGGCCGCCTTCGTTTAGGGGACCTCGAGAAATATCCCGGTAATCTTCTCCGCCGAGGTTACCAGTGAGCTTCCAGGTAACATCGGAGGCGTCGTGGCCAGATAGCTTGTAATCTAGGATACCACGCGGGTTCTTCATGGTTTCGGTTCCAATGGTCCAGTTCTCGTCTAGGCCTTGGTTGTCGACGACGACCGTGATGGTGTATGTCTTACCCTTGGTCAGATTGGGCATGGTGAACGTGGCGTTGCCGTTCATAGCTGCGTCGTAACCACGCCATGAGCCGAGGAATTGATCGCCAATCCACGCAGAGGAACCGAATGCAGAACCACCTTGCGTGGAAAGGTAGAATGTTGATTCATTTCCAGATGCGGTGAATGTGCCGCGGAAGAGCAAAGTACCGGTGTGGTAACCGTAGTCGGAGCTGTATAGTGACACAGGTGTAGTCAAAGGACGCAGAGAGTTGTATGTCTTCTTCAGATCGGCTGCAGTCCACTCGCTGTCGTCGTATCCGGGTTGGATCTCAGGTAGTGAGTCGACGAACTTCCATTCCAGTTCGCTGAGTTTGGGGATGCTGATGTCCGGTTTGGCAAACTCAATGTCGGCGGACAAGGTTCCTTGTTCGGAAGTGGTGAAATCAATGTCCTTCCCGTTAAAAGTCATCTTAGACACTTCTGATGATGCGCCACCAATGACTTCGACGGTAGTTGTAGCGTTAATATCACCAACGAGGGCAATGGTGTCGCCAGTAACCTTGGCAGTGCGCATTAGGTAGCCTGCCTTGACAATGACAGGGTTAGAAGAGTCATGAGGTGCTTGGTCAATAGCCCAGTAGTTGAAGGCCTCGCCACGATCGAGCATGTAGACGTAAACGGGGCTATCAGCTCCAATCTTCGCGATCTTTCTGGTACCATCGGCCTTGAAGTTCAGGATTGTGGCACCCTTAGCAGTAGTGCTCGCGACATCGCCCTCGACAACCTCAAGTCCGGTGACATCGAGAGCCAGTTCGTGAGTCTCTCCTGCACCACCGTAGACGACTAGAACAGTCTTGTCGTCGTACTTATGCCAAGTAAATACTTCAGCAGTAGAGTAGACCAGAGTGGCACCGCCGATGTCGTAGTCGCTGACATGGACCTTGGAATCACGGCCGTTCAACGTAAGAGAAGTGCCGTTCATCTGAGGTACAGTGATATTTCCAAAGACAGAGGTCGTGACGTGAAGCTTGTAGCTCGTTGATTCCAACGAGTTGTACTTGGAGTGCCTCAGAAAGTAGAATGTAGTCTTCTCGTTGGTTGCAGGAGTGACGCTCAAATCGGTGCTAGTTGTCCAGGTGGAGTTTGAAGCATTGCCGCGCGCAGCAGTGAGATACGCAGGGCTCACCTTGAGGAAGTTGGCCTGGAGTTTAAGCTCAGAATACTTCTCGCGGTCGACTTGACGGTCTTCCTTGATTGGCGCAGCGTAGTCGTAGCTAGTGTAGCCACCAGGGTGACCAAGGTTACCCCAGTTGGTTCCACCGTAGGTCATGTACAAGTTCAAGATTGTAACACCAAAGCTGTACAGTTGCTTGTAGAATACGCGGTTGAACTCCGCGCCGACCAGAATACCACACTTATCGAAACCTGGTCCACCCCAAGGGTCAAAGCTGCCGGACTGGAACTCAACGATGGAGTATGGGGTGTTGGGGCTCTGCTGCTCGTGAAGCTGATGCCAATTCGTTGGGAGGTTGCCATCCGGCCATGTGGTTGGGTTGGCACAATCGAATCCAAGAGGATAGCCATCGTGGCCGTAAATGTCAACAGCTGCAGGTTGACCGGGTGCGTTATTTCCCTTTGCGGAGGCGTCGTTGCTAATCAAAGGTACAACGATACCGGCGTCGCGAATCTGGTCTTCAACGTATTGCATGTAGACTGGATCCGGGAAAGGCTTGATGGCGGAAGTAGCTTGCGTGTACTCGTTTTCTGGCTGGATAAGGATGATAGGGCCACCCTCAGTGATTTGCGCCGGCTTAATCTTAGCCAGCACATTCTTCATATAGTTGTCGGTCGCTTCCAAGAAATCGGGAGCGCGCGTTCTCAGCGTACCGTTAACCCTCTGAATCCATCCGGGGAAACCTCCACCAGATACTTCAGCATTGATGTAAGGACCCGGTCTAGCGAGGAGATAGATGCCAGCCTCTTGCGCAGCGTCGAAGAAAGGCTGTAGGTCAAAGACACCCTCTTCGCGGTAAACACCGGGCTTGCCCTCAAGCAGAGCCCAGTCGACATAGAAGGAAACGCCGTTGTAACCAAGAGCCTTGATCTTCTGGAAAAGGTCGGCGTAAAGATCAGGAACTGGTAATCTGTACGGGTGAACTTCGCCAGAGTACAGGAAGATGCGTTCTCCATGAACGAAGAGCGAGTCTTCGTCCCAGGTGACCTACAGACATGGTTAGTCACGACAAATTTCACATCGACATTTGAACCTTGCCACTTACGATGTCTTGTAAAGCCTCCCTCTTATACGGCTTGATGAATTCCTTGGGCGAATATCCCACAGCCCTAGCCGCACTCTCGACAGCAAAACACCCAAGCGCGACCGCGCCACCAAGCTTCAGAAAGCTCTTCATGTTGACCAGTATGCGGAACCAGAGGTCAAGTTGCTTGTGAAGTTGAGCAAATCCGCGGGAAAGCAAGCAATATAAACAAATTTCCCCAGCCTCCGAAGCTTTTCATGGTTTGCATGTAGCCGACCGGGATCTTTACTCGTTCCCGTCGGACGATGACAGCATCTCGTGCCATCACGTTCCGAGCGCATTTGCCTTTGTTCCCCCTGTTCCCCCAGTAACTTTTCCCCGGTTTACCCCCATGTTGGGCATGTCAAAGCCGTGCCATTTCAGCCGGATGAGTAACCAGGTCACGCAAGATCGACCAGGTTGACCGGATGAGTAGCCGTAGTGATACTAGTCTAACCAGCATCGAAATACGCAAGTACCGATTCCACCAATATCGCTGCATGGAGGCTCGTTAAAAGTCTTTAGTGCACGTATATGACCGCATCTCGGATGGCGCAGGCGGGGAAGTATGTCCGATGAGCGCCATGACCGTTGCCCAGGCGGTGCAGAGTGTTGACGATCAGTGGGGTTAGCGCTGGGGTTAATGCTTGACGTCCTAGCCTCTTCGCCGTGGATGCTTGCGGAAGCTTGGGTCAAGTTCGTCGACAACTTGTTCCGCCCCTACTTTGGGCAAGGCATCCGCACCGTGATGACGACGGACATCGGCATAATAGATATTGACTCGATTGTCGGTTCTTGGAGCAGGAAAAGTGCGGATGGCATGACTAGTGTAGGGATGGTAACGGGTTGAGATGATGATACGAATGTGGAGAGATTTACCGAGGTACATTGCTTTTAGGCTGACGTAACAAGGGTCTGATCATTGCGAAAAGCAAGTGCGCGCATATTCCATAAGTAGAATCGTACTGTGGTTTTCTTGCTATCGAGAAGCTTCTGTAGGGGCCTCGTGTAAGGCAAGGAATGACGAGTTTGAAATAAGGCTACCCTTCTTCGATTAACGTACCTGGGAACATGAAATCAAGAAGTACCTATCCTAATTCAACGAGCGTGCCACTTAACCATCTGACATTAGTGAAGGCCCACACAGAGTACTTCGTGCGGTAGTCGGTTACTGATCTATTGCCCAAGGTCCGTCGATAAGTTGTATTATACGTGCATATGCATTTGTACCGCTCAAAGCAATCAAGCCAACGATTTGCCTGCGACCATCTCTACGCGCACTGCGACGTCGCGCATGTTGCTGCATACCGTCCCAAGAAAAATTGCAAGACAACGACTGCCTATAACCCAAGAACTCCTGTGCATGGTTTCCTGTCGCCATGGAAAGCTGGCACCCAAATAAGACCACCACCAAGAATTGCGCCTCAGAACCTAAGATGAGAAACTTGAGAACAAAAGGCTGATCAGAATTGCTAAAAGCTGAGCATCGCAAAAGAAAAATCTACCAATTCGTCAATGCTGGGCCGCCTCAACCCCGTTTACTGTGGCGGATACGACGAGAAATTCGGCGCACCATTTGGATAATAGTTCGCGTTACCGCCAACAGTCTGGAAATTGGAGAAGTCCATAGTCGTCGACCAGTCATAAGATTGGTCATTATCGCTGATCATGGCTGGTTCAG